ACTTGAACGCACTTTCTACAAAGGTCTCAGATGGCTTCTGCACCCAAGACCCCCAACAACTCAACCCCCCCCTCGCCTGGGAGGTGACCTTCACTGGCACATATCCGCCCTTTCCGACGCCCAGGGAGGCACCGCTTCACCGTGATCGGTTGGAAGTTCAGGTTCGTTGTTCCTTAGGCAGCCCAGTGGTGCCCTTTACCCTCTTTTGGTTGATTATGGGTTCCCGTATAAAATAACCAACCCCCCCCCCCCCCCAAAAAAAAAAAAGGTGCCCTTATTATAATGTGGTTGCTGGTCTACCAAGGTTCGGGCTCAGGCCAGAGCATCTTTGCAGCCACCCCACTTTCGCGGAGTGCAGCCCCCACGTCACCAAATCCCGTAGGGCCCTGCCGTCTTGAAGCCACAAAACCCAAGCCCAGCCCGCTCCCTCCCCATGAAACCCCGAATCACTCAGCAGACTTCCTATATCTGGTGGCTTGTTACAAAGGACGGCCCCTAAAAATGTAGGGTTTTGAGAACTGACCATACCCGAAATCCCGGACTTTGGGGGTTTAGGGTTTAGGGTTTAGGGTTTAGGGTTTAGGGTTTAGGGTTCAATTGCCAGGTTCGCCACCCCTCCTGCCAGAGGGACTTCGCGCTCGGGGAGTTGCCGAGGGCCTCCCTGGCCTGGGCGCCTACTACTTGGAGGTTCATGGTACTTATCCCTAAACCCTAAACCCTAAACCCTAAACCCTAAACCCTAAACCCTAAACCCTAAACCCTAAACGTACTTCTAACTAACCCACTTATAAGCCCCTAGAGTTATTCTAGGATGCCCAGTAGTACCCTTATTCCCTTTTTGGGGGGTTTAGGTTCCCTTATAAACCCCTTTAAGCAAAAAAAGGGGCACCCTTTTTGAGCCTTGGTTACTGGGCAGCCTAGTATTAACCAAGTATAACTTATAGCTAACCCACTTATAAGCCCCTAGAGTGTGCCCTAATATGGTTAGTAAGAACAGTTATAGGTAATTGGAAGTTAGAATTAGTTCATAAGTGCCATGAATCTCCAAGTATAAATGCAAGGAGTAAACTTGACACCCTGAACCATATGTGCAGGCAGTCATGCGACTCTCGCGTGACTTAGACCGATGTGCAGGAAAACTTCTCCGCCTGAACCTCCGAGTAATACCCTAAACCCGATAAAACCTAAACCTCACAAGGTCATTCCGTACCTGAACGAGACCTGGGTCCAGATCAAAGCCACAGCCAGAGCCTTGGCCAGGGCGCGAGCATCTGAGAGATAGTTGGTCGTCTCGGGGTCCTATTTTTGTGTGTTTCTGTTGTGAAGCTTTAGGGTTTGGGGTTTGGGTTTAGGGTTTAGGGTTCAGGGTTTAGGGTTTAGGATTTAGGGTATACCCTTTAAGGGCTTATATACGGCCCTCCCTCAGTCCCTACTAAGAGCAAGTGTTCTGAACTGAGAATGCTAAGAAACAGCCAGTGTTCTGAACTGAGAATCCCGCGGGAGTACCCACCTCCAATGGTCCAAGAATCCAATGCTTCCTGAAACCTTCAAGCGCAAAGCCCCCTAAGACCCCAAAACCCCTCAACCCCCCTGAACCACCCAAAACCCCCTAAATCCTAAACCCTAATAAACCCCTAAACTCCCAAAACCCTAAACCCCAATTCCTTCCACCCGCAAGCCCATGGTTCCAACAGGTCGGCTCGCTTTTGGCGCACAGCCCGCTGGAGCTCGTGGACCAGGCGCCAGTCTGGGGAGCCCTGAGGGCGCCTATCACTTGGTGCCCAGTGGTAGTTTTTTTTTGTTTTTTTGTTCCTTCCTTTTTTTGGGTTCAAGGTCCCCTTTAAAAAAATAGCCAACCCCAAAAAAGGGTGCCCTTATGATGATCCGGTTACTGGGCCACCACGACAGGGAATGGGTTACACAGGGTTTGGAGGCTTCATGGGTTTGTAGGATGTTATCTTAGAGGGTTTTCAGGAATACATGCCTTAGAGGTTCAGGCGCTGAAAGTATGGGGCTTTTGGGCTTTATGGGTGGTTTCGGGGCTTTCTTGCACCTGATTTCTCCCCCCAAGACACCACCACGGCAGGTGTGCTGGTTTTGAGGTTTCCACGGGCCGATACACCCTAAACCCTAAACCCTAAACCCTAAACCCTAATGGAGCCAGAGCAACCTGCCAGTCCTGTAAGCCATGGAACCCCGACTTGCAGGTTCATGCGTGCTTATAAGTCGGCTTATAAGTACCCTAGAGGAGGTAGCCATACCAGGACGGGCTATTAGGCCCTATAATCCCCATAATCAAGCCTATAAGGGGCTTTTTAAAGGGCTTTTTTAAGGGGTTATCGGTTATAGGGTATCATAGTCCGTCCTGGTAGTGACCCTGCTTATCACCCTGCTTATAAAGCACCCACGAACCTCCAAGTATAAGCCGTAGAAACCCTGTGAGCCCTCCAAACATTACCAACCCGACAACCCCCCCCCCCCCCCCTAAAAGCTACGAGATCCTTTTCATCGATGACGGCAACTCGCCCGTTGCTCGCTCAGGATGTGCAGCTGAAAGTTGATCAACGGAGCAGAACAGGTTCTTATATATATATATATATATATTTATTTATATATATATATATATATGTATATGTGTTTATGAACAAATGCATAATATTGAAAATCAGTACAGAGATAAATGGAGACATATCTACTCACGCATGCTTTTTCCTCGTATTTATGGTGTATTTGTGGTGAGAAGAGTGGCTCGAGTTTTCAGCAAGGAGCAGGCCTTCATCATGCACGGGTTCTGGTTCATGTTAAGTATACTCCGTAGTATCTGGGGGATGTAAGGAGTGGCAGCATCACGACGAACTTCGGGCTCTACATCCCAAGGCCCGGTGTGAAAGCAATTGTCTGACCATGTCCAAGCCATTTGCTTGGGGGAAGAAAGAAACCCTAAAGGGGTTGATGGTTCGTATACCTCAAGGAATGTTACTTAGTAGCATGGTGTATATGACCCCACTTGTTGGGTTCATTTTGTCCTGCAAGGTTTGTGCCGTTGAGCTAGAGTCCGGTTGGAAAGTCCCAACCCTGCACATGGGGCCTTCTGATGGTGGCTTCGAAGCGTTGGGGGTGTTCTTGCGGCTCCTTCGCGAATCTCTTTCAAGCAATAACGGGAATTCTGTCGGCCGATCCTACGTCCTACGGAGCCCCTGCCCTCCGCTTTCTGCGGCGGGTTGCCCTTGGCAGTGGCAGCCTGACCTTCACGAAGCGGGGAGAGAGTCCGGGCGGACGTTTGGCCTGCTGCGCCGCTCGCGCAGCAATGGCCCCCAAGCGGGAACACCCGCCCGTCCCTACACGCCGAGATGGAGCACCACTCGCGCTTGCTTGAAACGAGCTTCTAGAAGTCCTTGACCCGCCCTTCAATCTTCCCATTGTTCTGGGAATACTATGGGCTCCTGGTTCCCTTTGCAATTCTTGCCCGCACCCAGGCGTCTTGTGTTGAGTTCTTTTAAGCTTTCTGAGCCTGCAGCGAGCCCCACCTCAGAGCAGAACGTCGAAGCCTCGCCCCTCCCCTTTATTCCATCTTATTCCGACATGGGGCTTTACGACTTTTGGGGGTACCTTATTGGGGTCCTGTTTGTAATGTATAAGGTAGTATAAGGAATCCTACTATTGGAGGTCTAAATAGGGCTGATGACCGGCCTCCCCATAAAGCGTTAAACCCCCTAAGACTTGCTGGGTGTGCCTTGCCTGTGTGAACGAGACAAGTACTGCACCTTCGACCTCTGAACTATAATAGTTTTTGGAGGCATGTACTAAAGCAGACTCTTGCAGCAGATTCTCGGGGGCCTGATCCAAATCGTGAGTGGGTCCTTTTCTTGGGCTCTATTGCGGAATGTTCCTTGCGGTGCCAGAAGCACTCCGTCCATTGTCTTGACGGCCGTTTGGCGTTGTTTTGCTTGCTCTGATATTGACGGTGTTCTTGCGGCTCCTTCGCGAATCTCTTTCAAGCAATAACGGGAATTCTGTCGGCCGATCCTACGTCCTACGGAGCCCCTGCCCTCCGCTTTCTGCGGCGGGTTGCCCTTGGCAGTGGCAGCCTGACCTTCACGAAGCGGGGAGAGAGTCCGGGCGGACGTTTGGCCTGCTGCGCCGCTCGCGCAGCAATGGCCCCCAAGCGGGAACACCCGCCCGTCCCTACACGCCGAGATGGAGCACCGCTCGCGCTTGCTTGAAACGAGCTTCTAGAAGTCTTTGACCCGCCCTTCAACCTTCCCATTGTTCTGGGAATACTATGGGCTCCTGGTTCCCTTTGCAATTCTTGCCCGCACCCAGGCGTCTTGTGTTGAGTTCTTTTAAGCTTTCTGAGCCTGCAGCGAGCCCCACCTCAGAGCAGAACGTCGAAGCCTCGCCCCTCCCCTTTATTCCATCTTATTCCGACATGGGGCTTTACGACTTTTGGGGGTACCTTATTGGGGTCCTGTTTGTAATGTATAAGGTAGTATAAGGAATCCTACTATTGGAGGTCTAAATAGGGCTGATGACCGGCCTCCCCATAAAGCGTTAAACCCCCTAAGACTTGCTGGGTGTGCCTTGCCTGTGTGAACGAGACAAGTACTGCACCTTCGACCTCTGAACTATAATAGTTTTTGGAGGCATGTACTAAAGCAGACTCTTGCAGCAGATTCTCGGGGGCCTGATCCAAATCGTGAGTGGGTCCTTTTCTTGGGCTCTATTGCGGAATGTTCCTTGCGGTGCCAGAAGCACTCCGTCCATTGTCTTGACGGCCGTTTGGCGTTGTTTTGCTTGCTCTGATATTGACGGTGTTCTTGCGGCTCCTTCGCGAATCTCTTTCAAGTAATAACGGGAATTCTGTCGGCCGATCCTACGTCCTACGGAGCCCCTGCCCTCCGCTTTCTGCGGCGGGTTGCCTTGACAGTGGCAGCCTGACCTTCACGAAGCGGGGAGAGAGTCCGGGCGGACGTTTGGCCTGCTGCGCCGCTCGTGCAGCAATGGCCCCAAGCGGGAACACCCGCCTGTCCCCACACGCCCATATGGAACACTGGACGAATGAGCTGGGTCCGAGTGCCCAGGGGCTGTGGTAATTAGGGTTTAGGGTTTAGGGTTTAGGGTTTTCGGGTTTTAGGGTTTAGGGACCCTAAACCCTACACCAGGTTTGGTTTGTGTGTTGCTGCGCCGCTGTGGTTTGCGCATTCCTTCCGGATGCGGCCTGAGAGCGCTTTTTTCGGGCCCAAGTCTGGGAATCCCCTAACCTTGGAGCCCAAAGAACCACATAAACATAAGGATCCCACAAACAGGGTTTTTGGGGAATCCCCCTTATTGGGGCCCTTCTACCCCAATAGTAGGATCCTTCTGTTTATGTGGTTTTTTGGGCCCCTATAATCACCAAACCCGAACCCTGCAGCCAGATCCGCGTGCACCGCAACGAAGTGCGGCAGGGCCTGATCAGGGCCAAGGCGCCCTCGCCGTCTTGCTAGCCCAGTGGCCGGTTCCCTTTCCCCTTCTTTTTTTGGTTCCGGGTTCCCTTATGACCCCTTAACCCTAAACCCTAAACCCTAAACCCTAAACCCTTGTTCTGATAGGGTTACTGGGCTACCAAGCTGCCGGACATGATTTCTTCAGGGGCTTTTGGCGAGTTTTCATGGTTGGAGGTTTGTTTTGCTTCATGGCTTTGGGAGCTTCAGAACTTAGGGGGGTTTGTGTCTCCAGGGCTGCATCCCTTCGACATGGCGCCGATCTCAGGGGTTGTAGAGAGCAGCGGCACCAAAGACCGCCATTTCTTTTGAATCCATGGCGCTCTATTCGAACTACATAAAAGCCATGGCATCTTCATCTTGGCCCAAGCTGAGGATAACGCTAGGGTCCAGCGACTACTTGCGGCCACTTCGGAGCCCATGGCGATGTGGCAAGGTGAGATCAACTCGACACTGGAAACCGACGCCGACCACCAGCTCATGGTCATCCCAGAGAACATGGAGGAGGAATTGCATCGCCTGGGCGCCTCCTCCGACATGATCTTTCATCTCAAAGAGGATGACGAGATGGTGCATTTGCCGATGCCCGGCAACCTCGACAGATCAATTCGCACCGAGGCTTTGCGTTGCATGTTCAACATGCTTCAGGCACATCCTTTGGGTACAAGCAGTTGGTTTCAGGCGGCCCTGCTTTTTGATCGCAGCGCAGCAAGCAAGAGCTTCTGCTTGGAAAAGCTACCGCTGACCTGTACGTGCTTGACAGGCATTGCCTTGAAGTGCGCCTCCAGCGGGGCCATGCTCCACCCCCCCCCCCACCCTTAACGGCGAGAACCTGATCAAGGACTTTGCTACATGGCTGGATTCCACACAGAACTGCGTGACTGCAGCAGTGTCCAACCGAACAGTCTCGCAGCATGAGAAGAAGGTCTTAGAGGCGCTCGATTTTCGCGTGGTAGCCCCCTGCGTACTGCGGTGGTGCCAGACTTACTTCACTCGCTTCGGACTCTTGGCGAGCCGGGATTTCCAACTTCCCCTTCAGCAGATGCACGGAACGGTGTTGATGTTCGCACGCGCCGTGGTGATGTGTGTTCCAGCCTCCCCAATGCTCAGCCACGGCAAGCTGGCCGCCGGACTGTTTAGCCTGAGCTTGGTGTTCTCGGGCCTGCTGCCAATGGCCAGCCTCATGCCGTCGAGCATGAGCGTTGCAGAGTGGACCGCCCTTTTTGCAGCGACCCCTCCAGTGCCGCCATGCCTTCTGCCGCAGGCTGTAACGATGAGGCTCATGGACATGATGTGCTTGGCCGTCATGGAAAAGCCTGACGTCATCCGCGCCTGGTCAAGGCATGCAGTAGAAGCCTTGAGCGAGTCACTGCAGCAAGTTCTCATCTTCCAAGGGCAGCAAGGAGCAAGGAAGGCCTAGCTTTCTTTCTCGGGGTGCGGGTGTGTGGGGGGGCGGCGGGGGGAGATGGGAAGGCAGCAATTGCACATTTCGGTCTTGCGAAGCAGACAATTTGGTAGTTGGGCTCCCAGAGCGGGATGTCGAACAAACATCACCCGCCTTGCTCTTACCAATCCTTGGCTTACTGCTAGGCATCGTGGAGAGTCGGAGAATTTCTGTGTCGCACGCGGTACCCTCAGTAAGCAGATTTTCGACCTGAGCTACAACCCAGTTGTGGCTTGGCACAGGCCAGGTGGTGGCGTCCCTAAGCCCAAAAACGTGCCAGACGCGAGGCCGCCCAGAGCGCCAGCGAATCGGCCCTAAGCCCTATAAACCCCAGAAGCCCTATAAACCCTATAAATCCTGTAAACCCTATAAACCCTATAAACCCTATAAACCCTGAAAAGCCTATAAACCCTATAAACCCTGAAAAGCCTGAAAACCCTATAAACCCTAAAAACCCTAAACCCTATAAAGTATAAACCCAAAATCCTACAAACCCTAAACGAACATTGTTTGGGCTTGAGAGACTTTGAATCGCCACTGGCGAATGCAGTTTTCGGAGGCGTGGAGAGCATGCAGATTGGGACGTCGCCGGGCAGTTGCAAAATGTTGCAAAGCGGCCAACGGCGTCTGAAGTACCCCAAACCCTATATAAACCCTAAACCCTCAAATTCTGAGCTTATGTCGAGGGCTGATCTGCGGCTCTTCCTGCTTGTTGGGCAGTATCTTTGCCACATGGGGCACCGGTGCCTCCTTCGCTTTAAAGGGAATGTTCGGACTGGCATTTGAGAGGTTAGGGATTCGGGTTTAGGGCTTCTAGGCTTTAGGGCCACGACGAGTCCACGAGCGAAGCGTTGTGCGACGAGCTGTGCCACCATGCAAGTCGTGTATTGTGTTGGAAAAGGGCTTTTGCGATCTCCGTGGATCCGTCCCTAACTTTGATCATGCTCGTAGTTCGGTTTCGCGCCGCTTCCCAAGCAGTGTGATTCGTCTATGTTCTCGTGTGCTGGCGTTTGCTCTTACGCCATCTGCTGCTGCTATTTGTCTACTGGAAGATCGCGTTTCACTCGTTTGGCACGGGTTCTTTGTCATGGGGCAGATCGGAAAAAGTCTGCTGGATTGCTGCAAAGACAAAGCCCTAGACCCCAAACCCTGCAACGTTCAAGGCCTGGGCCCTCAACTGAAGCTGCAAACCCTCACGCTGGGAGCCCAAATGCCTCTGAAACAGGGAATGCATGCTCTACCTCAAGTGGTAGGCCTCGAGGGAATCTGTACTTCAACCTTTCTAGGGAAACCCTAAACCCTAAAACATAACCCTAAACCCTAAACCCTAAACCCTAAACCCTAAGGTGTATTCCTTAGCAGGCTGGTGCACCCCTGACTTGTCCCAGCTCTGCGCGAGGTCATCGGGGCTGCCATGATCTCGAGCCGGGGGCCCCAGGAGGACCGGTAGGGTTTAGGGTTTAGGGTTTGGGGTTTAGGGTTTGGGGTTTAGGGTTTAGGGTTTAGGGTTTGGGGCTAGGGTTTGGGGACGCGGGTTTGGGGTTTGGGGCTCCTAAACCTCAGCCTGGCCACCTTACGGGCTGGAGCTGCGCCTGGAGCTGCCAGGGACCAGGTTTCGGGTCCCTAAACCCTGAAGCCTAAAACCTATAGGTTCTGAGCTTTCCTGAACCCTAAACCCTAGCCCTAAACCCTAAACCCCAAACCGAAACCCTAGCCCTAAACCCCACTCAGGTCCCATCCTCATATTCATGGAGCCTCACTGCATCGTCGTCCAGCAGGTGGGAGAGGGTCAAAAACCGACAAGCAGTACAACAAAAGGGTTTAGGGTTCAGGGTTTAGGTTTAGGGGTCTAAGGTTCCTGATTGTGAGTCCCATAGCGCCACCCCGTGTCTTGCGGGTTCCCAAAGGGACCCTCATTCAGAGAACTCCTTGGGGGGGGGGGGGGGGGCAAACCAGAAAAGGGTTCAGGCTTTTAGGGTTTTGGGGTTATCATAGGGTTTAGGGTTTTAGGGTTTAGGGTTTAGGGTTTAGGGTTAGAGAATTTAGGGTTTAGGGGCTTAGGGCTTAGGGTTTTAGGGTTTAGGGCTTAGGGTTTAGGGTTAGAGAGTTTAGGGTTTAGGGGCTTAGGGCTTAGGGTTTTGCAAGGTTCAGGTGTTTAGGCCCAGCCTCTTGTCTGCAGTGGCTGGAGCCCCTGCTGGAGCAGCTGAGCCTGGCTCATGACCACAAGAGCCTCGACACCACAGCTAGGTTAGGGTTTAGGGTTTGGGGTTTAGGGTTTGGGGTTTAGGGTTTGGGGTTTAGGGCTAGGGTTTGGGGTTTAGGGTTTGGGGTCCGGGGAGTCAGGTTGAGGTAGGTCTGCCGGGGGATGTGGGGCTTGAGGGCTTAAGGGGCTTCAGGGATTTAGGTCTAGGAATCCTTTGTGAAACCCAGTGGTGCAGTTCATGTCAAACGCACCTCTAAGCCCTGAATCAGATGTCTGGCCCTTGGGTTGTATAGGGTATCTACGGGGTGTATGGTCACTTCTCAAAATTATAGTCCCTTTTTGGAGGCACCCTAAATATTCGAGGCTTCCTTACAATAGTAACACCAAAAGGGCCCCCTAATCTAGAGAACCCAACCCCCCCCCCCCCATGCGCGGGCTTTTTTTTTCTAAATGCAGGGAGCTGCCCTGGGTGATGAACTAGGGGCCCCACCAACCCTAAACCCTAAAAACCCAACAGGCGGGGTGGGGACTCAAAGGGTGTAGGGAGTTCAGTTCCCGAAGTTTGTATGTTTCACATCTACTTTGGCCCAGCACTCAAGCTTTTTGCTGTTGAACATGCCATGTTTCATCGGTTCTGAAGGAATTCTGGAGGGTGGAGGGGTCGCGTGTTGGGGACCCAGGCCCTAGACTTTAAAACCCCAACACCCTAAACCCTAAACCCTCTAAACCCTAAACCCTAAACCCTAAACCCCAACTTTTCTGGGGACAGGTGCCTTCTACTCAGGGTGCCCAAAAGGCCATATTTTCATTCGATGCTTAGAGCGCTCAGGCTGTGTCCATGCTTGGGATTTTGGACGAAAATCTTAGGGTTTAGGGTTTTAGGGTTTAGGGTTTAGGGTGAAACCCGAAACGCTAGAAGGGCAGAAGCGTTGAGGGAGTGTTCGACAGGAGTGAGAATCACACCCGAAGCCCCAAGCAGCTCGAGCCGTGCGTAGACAAGAAAGACATTCAGGGTCTGGGGGTCAAGCGTGCTAGAAAGGAAGGAAGAGAGTAATATGGTTTAGGGGTTAAGGCTTTTTTTTTGTGTTTAAGGCTTTAGGGGTGTGGATGGAGGCTGAAGGAAGAATAATCAAGAATAATCAGGCGAAGGAGAGGAGGAGAGCAAACGATCTATCCAACCAAAAACGCAGACTAAACCTATAGCTTCTTGGGATTTTTGTTGTTATTCAATGAAACCCAGGGGAAAATTAACAATTAAGTTTTTATGGGGAGTATAGAAACCCCTGATTAAGACCCCAGGACGCTGGTCATGCCCATTCTGGACATCATCCCAGAGGTTCCGCCCACTTAAGAAGTTCGTACGGATGCCGGCTGCCTGTAGGAGGGGTGCGATCACAGAAATCCCAGAACCCTCTACCCCGCTATCCTTAGAGTGTCCCGAGTTTGGGGGGGGAATGCGCAAAAATTCTGTGTTGAAAAGAGGTTGCGGGCTGCATTGTACGACCGAAGCTGTGAAGTAAGCCAAGCCGGGTAAACCCGAAACCCTAACAGGTTTAACCCCTTAAAAAAACCCCTTTTTTTGGTCTACGAAGCCCTGAGTTACGCCCATGTGTCGTACAACTTTGTCCCGAACTGGAAAAAGACAAGTTGGGAACAGACACGTGCTTGGTTATTTGCAGGCTCTGGGCAGTTGATGATGTTATGTGGGGACTTCTCTAGATTGTGACCCCTTTGTCAGGTTGCTAGTATAATGCGGCCCCAAGAAAGGCCATCATTTCGAGAACTGACCATATCGGGCTTGTCAGGGGATAGCTCAGCGGCGTTAGTGGTTGGGGACACGTTCCAGGCTCCTGTCGTATGTCTCAAGCGGTGACACGGGATCGTTTTCTACTGCTCGCGCTCCAGAAAAACTTCGAGAACTACCTTCCGGCGAACCACCACATCGGGGGTTTCGCAGCTCGGCGCCATAGGCTTACTTGAAGGTTCATGGATACTTTTTAGTACGGTCATAAGTGCCCAAAATAAGGCTGTAACCAGAGTTACCCTTCTTTATAACCCTACATAGACGCACCTAAGAGTTCAGAAAGCCCTCCAGAGACATGCCCTCTATGACCTTCCCGAGCGCATCCCCGACCTACAGGCCCAAAGCCCAAAACCCGAAACCCTAAACCTAGACAGGTACGTGGACCCTTATGGACTTCTGGATAGTAGAGCCTGGGATTTCCGTCATATGCCATGTTCGATCGGTGATGACTTGCCCTATGAATACTCCACCTCCGCCAAATCCTTAACCCGAAGCCCTAGGGCCCTAGGGGGCTTCAGGGTTCAAGGTTCTATAAGGGTTTAGGATTTGGGGTTTAAGGTTCAGGGTTTAGTAAGGAGTCCTAATGACATTCAAGGGCGCGAAGCCCACAGAGCCTCCCAGGACTGGACCCTCACCTTCGGCTGGAAGGCACTCATCGAGACGCGGAACAAGTCGTGCGCTTCCAAAACTTCGGGTTTGCAGGTTTGAGGTTATATATATATATATATGTGTATTTATATATATATATATACACACTTATATGTTTATATGTCCACATATGTTTTAGGCTTTGGACATAGGTGTTTTGGGGTTATGCGGTTTCGCATTCAAGGGGCTTAGGCTTGTAGGGGCTATGGTGTGTGCAGCAACCGAAGCTCCATAAACTCAAAAAGCCTCAGTGCCAGGTACGTCTACCCCAACCCCTATCCCACGCCGGCGCTCTCCGGGGGGATCTTCGGCCTCTGGACATCCCGCCTACTAGGGTTTAGGGTTTCGGGTTTAGGGTTTCGGGTGTAGGGTTTCGGGTTTAGGAGATAAGGGAGGCTGACCGCTTCGTGAAGCGCATTGATGCATTGCAGTGCATGTTGCTTGAGAGACCGCGAAGTAGCTCGATGTCACGTTTGCCAGCCATCGCCTGCCCTACCCCGAGGGAAGTCGCGGCCCGTTTCTTGAGCGCTTCCCTTCGCACCATTGGCCTGGTGTGGGGCTCCGCTGATGCCTGTGACCACCTTTTGAGCCACGCGCTTCGGGGCTTGAGCGTCTGACGGCGGAGCTATGAGCTAATGCGTCCGCTGGGGGTGGCCCCATGTGGTTGACCCCACATATGCCCATGGCAACTCGGCCGCGGGCATGGCACTCACGGAAAGTAGGGGAGGCCGATCCGGCAGATACGTGAAGCGCATTGATGTGGCAGCGCATCTTGCTTGACAATGAGGGACCGCGGCTTTGAATTGGCAAGTCAGCTACCCTAAACCCTCAGCCCTAAACCCTAAACCCTAAACCCTAAACTCGCCCGCCTTTTCCAGGAGGGACAACTGGGAGAAGATGGGCACTTACGACACCAACATGACTGAGTGGGGAGGTGAGCACATCGAGGCCTACCACCTTTATAATTTATAAGGCTCGAAACTGTTTAAGGGTTTAGGGTTTAGGGGTTAGGGTTTAGGGGTTGGGGGCATAGGTTTCCTACTTGAGCCTTGGGCACATCCCCAGAACTCCGCGCCTCCCCAAACATCTCAGGGTCGAGGGTCGGGCTTTATCAGCTTGAGATGCGCACGAAGCTAGCACCTCGGGCCCAGACACCTCCAGAAAATCCCGAAACTAGCTCGGGTCCGAAGTCGAGAAACCGTACAGTACCATCTGGCACCCAACCCCTAGAACCCGAAGCCCTAAACCCAAAAACCCTAAACCCGAAACCCTGTTCCTTAAACATACCCAAGCCCCCCCCCCCCCCCCCTCCTCCTCGTTGCGAAGATGTCGCTGCGCGCTTGGCGCTGTGGTGGCCGCATCGAGATCGTCCCCTGCTCCCGCCTACCTGGCCTGGGTTTGTGGTTTGTTTCTTGTCTTTGCGTTAGGGTCAATTATACGGTTTAGGGTTGAGGGGTTAAGGGTTAAAGTCTAGGGTTGAGCCTCTCAAGTCCAAGCATTCACTGGTCGACCTTTCTCATCTCATGTGACGGAGAAGTACCCACCCACCCGGAGAATCCCATAACATTAAGAAGCTGTAAAGTTCACTCTCAATCCATCACCCTTAGGCTCCATAGCCTAGGCCCTTAAACCCTAAGCTAGAGCCCTAGACCCTTCCTCAAGCTTTTTTGGTCACCTTTAATTCCCACCATCAATGCTTCAAAGTTAGGCACCACCTTCAATACACCTCAGGGTGTCAGAGAGGTCCTGGACAGAGCGGTGGCTTGAAACGATGTTTGGCTTTTGGGGGGGTAGGGCGGGTGTGGGGACCGTACCAACCCAATCTTTACATGACCTTGCCCGCTCTGTATATGACCTTGCCTGCTCTTATTCTAATCTTGCTGAATGGTTCATTAACACTTATATTACGGGGGCTTCATGGTTCGCAGAGCTTTGGGTTTCAGGGTTTCAGCCCCTTAGGATGCAGCCTGATGTCAGAGGACACACTCTCCGAAACCCTAAACCCTAAACCCTAAACCCTAAACCCTAAAACCCCTGAAGCACCGTAAAAACCCTCAAGCCCTCTGCAAACTCCACAGAGCCCTGCCATCCCTACAAAACCCTTGGGGGTTACCCTAAACCCTAAACCCTAAACCCTAAACCCTGAACCCTGAACCCTGAACCCTGAACCCTAAACCCTAGGGAGTACCAGGAATGGGCCATGTGTTTCGTGCCTGGCGCCCGGCAGGTCTCGGGATATAAACCTTTAGGATCTTCGGGGGGGGGGGGGGGGGGCCTGTTTTTTGAGTTTGGAGTTTACTAACACCTACATGTTGGTATGCTACCTCAGAATCCTATAGGGGGTTGGTTTATAACACGAGCCTGCAAAAAAGTAGGTTTTGGGTTCTTAAGTCAGCGCTAGCAGTGCAACGTCTAGATTTTCATGTTTGCGCGAGGGCCGTAGCACTTCACAGCATTCAGAGATTCGCAGCCACCTCTCCTCAGCATTGGCAATCAGCTGCAATTCCCCCCCCCCCCCTGTTTAGGGTTCAGGGTTTAGGGTTTAGGGTTCAGGGTTTAGGGTTTAGGGTTTAGGGTCTAGGGTTTAGGGTTTAGGGTGCCGGTTTCCACCGCAAGAGGAAAGCAAAGATCAAGCCCGAGAGCGCCCGAAAAACGGTGTCCAAAGCATGAAAGCAAGTAGCTGGGTTTAGGGTTTAGGGTTTAGGGTTTAGGGTTTAGGGTTTAGGGTTTAGGGTTTAGGGTCATCGTGAACGCAGATAGATGTGTAGGGTCTGAAGAGAGGCAACAGGGAGTTAGGTACCCCTACCGAATTCCTTGAAGAGTAACATGGGGGTACCTATGTCCCACCTTTCCCAAACCCTGGCTGAGCCCTCAACCCTACATGTCCTTGCTTCTCTATTCAGGCCCAGTAGGCTTAGGGCCGACCTGGGCAAAAATCGATACTTTCAGGCTACCTGCGGTACACCCCTGGCCGTGGGATCCCTAGTTCCCTGATTGCCGTATTTCCCAAAGTCCCCTAAACCCTCAACCCGACAACTCGAAACCCGGAACCCTGAACCTGATAGCCCTAAACCCTAAACCCTGAACCCTGAACCCTGTAACCCTAAACCCTAAACCCTGTCGAGGCCAAGAACCCATACATCGTCCACGTGCCCGAGGCAGGTTCAAGTTCTTCCTTAGGGTTTGGGGGCGTAGGGTCTACGGTTTCGGGTTTAGGGTTTCGGGTCTAGGGTGTAGGGTTTAGGGTTTAGAGTTCAGGGTGTAGGGTTTGGGGTTTAGGTACTTATAGCCCCACTTCTAAGTACCCATGAACCTTCAAGTATGCGACCCCAACACTCCAGCAACGTAGGCCTGCATAGGGCCCGGTACTCCCAGGCCCTCAACCCTAAACCCTAAACCCTCAACCCCTATCGCGAGCGATGCGACAAAGGTCATGAAGAACACCAAGCGTGCAGCTCTGGTGTGGCTAGATGACTACATGGAGGACATCAAGAGGTTTCAGACACAACCCGGGAAGGAGGGCCCCTAGGGTTTAGGGTTTAGGGTTTAGGGTTTACGTAGGGCGTGGGGAGACTTGCGTGGCTCGGGACACTGGGCTCCAAACCCTGAAGCCCCTAGGGTCCGAAACCTCAACCCTGAACCTGTCAAGGGACTAAAGGAGGGACCCTTATAAGGGACCTAAAGGGCTATCTAGTGGTTTCCTAGGTAGATAGGGACCCTATAAGGTGCCCCTTAAACCTCCCTGGGTGTCCCAGAGCTGATCTTGGCCCCTCACAGGTTTGCTCAGAGCCCGTGTTTTCTAAGGGTACCATGGTCTCTGATTATGGGCTCGCAAAAAGGGGACCCCTTCTGATGCCCCTTAAAAAACCCTATAAAACCCAAGGGCCCGTACTTCAGATTTTAAAGAAGGTAGGGGGACCGTATGAAGAGACCATGTAGCTACCCTGCGAAGTATCTTGTTAACCCCGCTTGCTTTCCCTCGTCGCGCGGCGTCCCCAGTTCTGGCACCTTCCCTGGTTCACCGTGCATCCTCATGTGGCACCTGCCCGTTGGGGAACAAGAACTTAGGGTAACCTTAGGGTTTTTAGGGGTCCGTTATTTTCGTAAACCCCCAGACCATGATCCAGTTTTCAACGTCCAGATGTCTGATGTTGGTTTCCCTCCTGTCCTTGATTACTTGGCTTACCTTGTAGACCCTTAAACCCTGAACCCACGTGTGCGGGCACGAGGACTACTACAAGAAGGTCCCTTACGCCCGAAGGATTCAGGTCGGCGGCTCATTTTGTGCAACTCTCAAACCTTCGAGAATTTAACGTCTTGGGATTTTGGGTTTACAAGGGTTCAAGGATCATAGGGTTTAATGCTGTTGGTTTAGGGTTAGGGGTTTAGGGTTCAGGCTTCAGGGTTTAGGGTCTGGGGATTTGGGATTTGGGGGGAGTTAATGCTTGAAACCCTATGAACCCCGAATCCAGTTGAGACTTCACGGTACGGCCGCTTCCCTAAACCCTAAAGCCTAAACCCCTAACCCCGAAACCCTAAACCCTAAACCCGAAACCCTAAACCCTAAACCCTAAACCTTAGGCTGGCGATGTCTCAGAGCGCTTGCGCCTGAAGGAGCGCTCTCACGCCGTGGGCATGTGCAGTTTAAGGGTTTTCGGGTTTATGTCAGGTCTTTATTTAGGGCGAATATTTGGGGTTGAGGATATATTTCAGGGCTTTATTTTGGGGCGAGAATTTGGGGTTGAGGGTTGTGTTCGTGTTTTTGTTGTTGTGTGTGTGTGTGTTGTTTCAGGGTTTACGCAGGGTCGGACTTGGATGCTTAGGGATGTCGGTCAAGCTTTGCAGGCACGAGCACCAAACCCTTCAACTTCAGGGTATTTTTCCCCATCCCCCTTCATACCTTGCACAGCCCTTTAAAAAAAATCTTAAGCAGCGCCGAAACAGAAGCAGTCCCTCAAAATGCTTCGTTAGGCTTACTACAGGGGTCGGAAGAATTTCGAATAGTACCCTAAACCCTAAACACTAAACCCGTATTCCCTTATGGTCCCTATATAAATATACGAGAATCACCCCCCCCCAAAACCGTATTTCTAATTCTCAAGGCCACTCAAAAAGGCCTTCCCTTCCGCAGACTGACTCCACTGAGCAGGAGAGGACGGTTACGTCTTCTCCAATTGACGTTGGGTCCTTTTTAGAGTACCCCACCTTCCTGCGTTTTGGGTATGTAGGGTTTAGGGTTTAGGGTTTAGGGCGTCGCTTGCAGGAGTCGCTGCATTGCCAGTCCATGGCCGGCGCCCCAGGACGGACGCAGAATCGGCTGAAGCCACCCGAAACCCTTTAGGGTTTAGGGTTTAGGGTTCAGGGTTCAGGGTTTAGGGTTTAGGGTTTAGGGTTAAGAGCTCCAACAGTCTACCTGGTGCCTCGGCCCAAAGCCCGCAGTCTCAGGCAAGATGCTCGGGGCAAAAGTCCCCCGATGCACTGCGAAACTCCGAAACCCTAAAAACATCCTAAATTTAAAGAGTCACTTAAACCCTAAATATCCCTAAACCCTAAATCCTAAACCCTAAGCCCTAAATATCCCCCTAAAGAGCCTTAGTCGCCCCAAGGACTGGTACATCGACAACATCTATCCGGAGCTGCGCGCCAGCCCCCTCAGACGAAAGCTGGCCCTTAGGAGCCTTCTTGAAGGTTCTTGGAGGGCTTATACGCAGGGTTGAGGGTCTAGGGTCCGGGGTTTAGGGCTTCTTGAAGGTTCATAGATACTTATGAGTGGTTCTGAGTGCCGTAAATGCGGTTACAACCGTACTTACCCTACTTGTATCCGTACCCATGAACCTCCATGTCAACGCCGCAACCCGCAAGCCTAATGTCGCGTAAGGGATTAGGACCCCTAAGCCCTCGGAGGGCTTCTCCTTCTCGAACCTACCCCCCCAACCCCAGGCACCATCTACGATGCCCCAAACACCCGCTCCTCCCCCCCACAACTTAGGTACCCTGAGCCCCTAAACCCCCAAACCCCCAAACCACTACACACCCCTAAACTCGGCTTGGGCCCTCGGTTTCTTGGGCGTGTCGACCCTCAACTTCATGCTAAGGCGGAGAGGCCGCCCTGAGCAAAACTCCCTGCTTGCGGAAAGCTCTTAGCTGCGACCCCCAAAATCCCCCTCAAATGCCGGCCCTGCAGACCCTTGATGAAGCCCTCTAAACGCTCAAAGCCCTAAGCCCTATTAAATCCTAAACCCTAAGCCCTAGACCCTAGACCCTAAACCCTACATGCCTGGTTGAACCCTGGGTGCCCAAGCCCCTGCCCCCTCCCCCCAGAGACGCCGGAGAAGAGCCAAAATGAGCGCCGTGGCTTTGCCAATCATCCGTGAAACGTCTGGGGTTTAGGGTGCAGCTCTTCGTGGGCTTTGCAAGGATACTTGGATTGTGGATAAGTACTGACATGGCGAAAAGCGTACTGGGAGGCTAGAATCTGTTTCGATTCGGAAGTCTTCAAGGCAAACGAAAACTGAGTCTGCAGTGATCCTGCTGTCACATCTGCACGCATAGCAGGCTCCCTGGGCCGGGTAGCTATAACATTAGGACCATCAAAAGTCAAATCTATCTGGAGTGAAGACAGCTAGGAGGGGGAAGGAAGGCGGGGAGGCAGGTGGGAATAAGGGAAGGAAGGGAGGGGGAGGGAGGAAGGGAAGGAAGTGGTGAAGCGAGTTGCAGGGGAGGATGGGAAGGAATGCATGAACGAAGGATGGCAGGAAATTTGGCAGCGTGCACCGTGTTGTTGCATGTCCCCGGTGTTCACATGCCTGGCTCATGTGTTGCATGTTTCACATCGTTATTTGGCACATTTTTCTACCGTAGCAGCCGTAGCATTTGTGTGCCACGTTTGTCGCAACTTTCACATTTACCACCTCGTTTGCATTGTACCACGTTGTTTTTTTTTTATCACACTTTGTCACTTGCATCAGCCTGCATCTTGATTGGCCTTGTTTGTCGCATGTGCCTACATGCTTCGCATGTTCACGTGCTTGTCACGCGTCTTCGCATGTTCTCCTAGTTTTCTTTGTTTTTCATAAGCCTCACACATTTGCAATCGCAGTTGCTCATTCGCTTGTTTCAACACATCTTAACACCCCGCCCCATACTATATATATATATACACACACACATAAATATAAATATAAATATATATATATATATATATCTATCTAGATCCACATATGATGTGTTTGTATATGTATTTGTATATGTATGTGCATATGTATGTGTATATGTATATGTACATGTACATGTATTTGTATATGTAGTAGATGCGAATTAGATGCGTATTTGTACATCCAACTCTTGCTTGTGGACTCAAGAGAGGGTGGCGTTCTTTCTGCACTCCACTTGAGATACCGATCAACTTGGTTAGCTGAGCCCATCGTGCGAAGTGCTAGCAAGAGAATCCGCAAGGTTTAGGTTTTACGGTTGAGGGTGTGGCCGTTAAGCTTCACGAGTTGCAAGGTACACCCGCCATGACCCACAAAGACCATGGGCCCTGAGCCCGACTCCTAAACGCTTCAGCCCTAAACCGTTTAACCCGGAAACCGTGAACTCGAAACCCAGTAACCCAAAAGACGCTACGAACCCTAAACCCCAGAAGCCCAACACCTACACCCCGAAAGCCCTCTAACCCTAAACCCTGAACCCCCTAAACTCCTGAAACCTGTCTTCTGCGGGACGCGCTGGTGAGCGGGAATCGGCCATGGGCTCTGTGCGATGGCTGCATTGCTTCTGACCTTGCTGTCGATAGCCTCGCTGGCGGGGGGTCCCGATCGTTCAGGATCCCCGAACCCCCGAGCCCTAAACCCTAAAAACTCCAAAAACCCATATCCCTAAACCCTAAACCCTAAGCCCCGAAGCCCCTAAGCCCTGATATCCCTAAACCCGGGATGCCCTAAACCCTAAACTACAGGGTTGAAGGTCTCGAGTCCACAAGAATTCGCACTCGACCCCTAGATGAGGGTCCCGGGTTTAGGGTTTAGGGTTTAGGGTTTAGGGTTTAGGGTTTAGGGTCCCTTCTTGGGGCGTCGGGAGATGTTTTTTAAGGGCACCCAGCAGGGCCGATAGCATGATTTGCTGAAGAAGCTCGAAAAAAAAGACGCCCAAAAATGAAAGAAGGACAATAATAGCCCCTAATGTTTCCCTTATACCTAAACCCTAAACCCTAAACCCTAAACCCTAAACCCTAAACCCTAAACCCTAAACCCTAAACCCTAAACCTATAAGCAAGATAATGTTGATTGATGGGGTGTATCGTGAGCAAATAGTAGCAGAAGTCCGAGACTCCCTCACATGCTCGTAGATGAACATCGCCGTGGTGTACGTACCATCGGTTTAGGGTTTAGGGTTTAGGGTTTAGGTTTAGAAGTCTTTCTGGTGACGGGATGGTTTTCGAGCATGATGCTCGTGCGTTCCTCACAGTCTATCTGGCATGCTCTCTCAAACCCATGGCCAGATCTCGAAAACTCTTAGGGACCCATAGACAACAGCCCAGGGAGTCTTCCTAAACCCTAAACCCTAAACCCTAAATCCTAAACCCTAAACCCTAAACCCTAAACCCTAAGTAGCCGCAAGCCCTCGACCCCATGTCCGGGCCAGTGCGAGCCTTGGGGTTCGATGTGCCTCCCCCGGGATTCGGGATGTGAGGGCTTGTGGAAGAAACGGGAATAACTAGGCCGTTTTGGGGGGCTTGGGGGGATTGTGAAGGTTCAGGGGTTGCAGCTTGGGAGGGGTTTTCGAGACCCGAAACCCTAAACCCTAAACCCTAAACCCTAAGTTCTCACGCCTCTGCCTGAAGCAACCCGCCAACTCGCGCTTCGCCGCACAAGGTCGGCACTGCGGCGCAGGATGACTTGCCGGAAAGGTGGCTTGCAGTTTAGGTACTCCTAGGATGCCCAGTTTAGGGTTTAGGGTTTAGGGTTTAGGAGTAGTACCCTTATTCCCTTTTTTGGGGGGGGGGGTTTAGGCTCCCTTATCAACCCCTTTAAGCAAAAACAGGGCACCCTTTTTAAGCCTTGGTTACTGGGCAGCCTAGACTTGGAGGTTAATTAGGGTACTTAGAAGTCAGGTTAGAAGTAGGGGAACCATGGTTATAGCCATATCTTGGTACTTAACTTATCACGCTACTTATATGCAGGGTGCAGGATGTGGGGTTTAGATGGTTGGGGCTCGGCTTGCGGGAAGAAGTGAGTTAGGGCACATGCTCATGCGTCGTCACTGGGAGGGTTGAAGCGCGTTCAGGGCTGATAGAGCTTAGTCCAAAGCCAAGTTCGGTTGAATTCAGAGTAAAATCATACATACCTCTATAGAATAGAAGGCCTACAAGTTCATAACATTTATAGTTACCCTGTGCGTCAACCGCCCCATTAGACAGGGAGGCCTGGAATAGAAAACAACCGCCCAGTATAGAAATCAACCGCCTTGTTTGGGAAACCACCTTCCACGGCATCACTGGCGGTTGGCGAGGACGATCGCAGGAACTTTGAGTGAACTTGTGCGTCAAAACTGGAAAATTTGCTTTCCAAAATGCACTTTTGCGAGAATTCTGGGAGCAACGGAGGGCGTGATGCTGGCGTGACTCCAGCGTGATGCTGGCAACGGCTCTAGTCGATAGATAGTACTGCGCACATGCAACCGCCCAGTTTAAGCGTGATGCAGGCGTGATGTTGGCGTGATGCTGCAGACTTAATGCATTTGCACTGATGCACGTGTAGGTTTTTTGCTGGAAAAACGGTTTTACGCACCGAGATCCTGTGCCTTCTGGACAAAATTCGAAAGTCCCTGCAAGTATCCCAAAACTACCGTTCTGAAACATACCCAAACTGGGCTGTTGTACTAACCGCCCTCCGAAACTAGGAGGTTCGTGAACCGCCTCGTTTGGCAGGGAGGTTGGACTTACAGGGTTACAAATGCAACATAGAAGCGTACACTGCGCTGACAAATGTAAGTTTTTAGTTTTTTTTAACCAACACACACAAATAAATAACCAAATAGATAAATAGTTAGATAAGTTCATATGTATATATATATATATAAACGAAGAGCCACGAACGTTGAATCATGCGGGGCAGGGGCAGGTCAGCACGTGTATCTGCTACCTTTTTGTGTTGAACCTTTAGATGCATGTATTTGATTTGGCTGTGTCATGATGTGTCTCTTGGTACTTACTATATCGTTTCGAGCCCGAAGACCCTAAACCCTTTTTAAACCTGAAGCCGACTGAAAGCCTAAACCAGAAACCTGGAACCCTATGCAGCAATAGTTCCATAGAATCGATTCTCCGCCCTGAGAAAAAAGTCTTTGTTGTCTTGGGCGCCAGGCTTCTCTCGGAGGCGTCGGTGACAGAGGCACGCTGCACCCCGACATTCGGTTTTTAGGGCTTCGGGGTTGAAGATCCTAAACCCTAAACCCTAAACCTTAAACCCTAAACCCTAAACCCAGGTGTTTGGGTTCCCGATGTGCAGATTTTCGGAGGGGGGGGGGGCTGGTGTTTCGTACGGCTTACGACGTTGTGGGTCTTAGGGATGTTGGGGTTTAGGAGTTTGGAGATGCCCCCGGGCCCCCTGTGGTTCTTGTTACAGTCCTTTTCACATACTGACCAAAAACATGGGGCTTGTGGTAAAGAATGCTTCTTATGCTCTAAACAAACTTACCCATGAACCCGGGAACACGTGTCAGATTTCGGGGCTGCGTAGGCCTACGTAGGGTTCGGGGCGGAAAGTTTAGGGTTTAGGGTGACGGAACGACATGAACCTGAAGAGGAGATCAGAATGTGGAGAGCTGGATTTCGGTGGAGATAGGTTCCGGGGTCAGTCTTTGCCTGAAGCGGGGATATCGGGGATTCTCTTCGAGGTATACAGATGGGTTCTAATTTTTAGAACTCGTATATAGCGTTTACATGATGATCAGTCTGTATTTGCATGTACATGTTTTTGTACGCATGAAACGAGACTCCCGGACGCTCTGAACACCTAAGCCACCCGATAGGATGTTCTTGATCAGGAACCTCAAATATGCTACCATAACATGGGTCTATGGTCGACCGTACTGTTTTTTGGTAGCTTGGTTTAAGTGCCAAAGCGCTATAAGTAAGGTAACCTATATGCTAACCGTAATTAAGGTACTTACAACCCTAAATCCTACACCCTAAACCCTAAACCCTAAACCCTAAACCCTAAACCCTAAACCCTAAACCCTAAACCCTAAACCCTTGCCACAGTATGCCGACAGGAAGTTAGCCACTACCAGGGTCTCGACATCCTTTGGCAGTCGCTCGAGAAGGTGCCATGGACCCTTGGCAGATTTTGTTTTGGGGAGGGGTGGCTTGTCGGTGGGTAAGCCCTAAACCCTAAACCCTAAACCCTAAACCCTAAACCCTAAACCCTAAACCCTAAACCCTAAACCCTAAACCCTAAACCCTAAACTCAAACCCACCCTAAACCGAAACCCCCGGCCCTGCACATGCTGGGGTGGTAGAGTGGCTCACGGGAGTGGGGCTGAAGGGAGGGGGCCTTGAGGGAAGGCTGGGGATGACTTTTAGGGTTTAGGGTTTAGGGTTTAGGGTTTTATACCATTTTTAGAAAAGAATCCTAGTGGGAACCCCAAACCGGGAATCCCAAGAAATATCGTAGGAATGTCAAGGGAATATAAGGACCCTGGTAGGTGTCTTCCTACGGTCTCCCGACTATATTCTTGGTGTTTCCTGTTTCGGGGTTCTCTTTAAGGTCCCTTAAATTTACTTATGACACTCCTTCAGGACGCCCCTTAAGGGTTTAGGGTTAGGGGTTTAGGGCTGTGCCATCCATGCCACAACCTAGCACGACCTAACCTGGAACCTGTCCGCAGAGGAACGGCCAAGACAGACGGGGAGGGAGGGAGGGAGGGAGGGAGAGAGAGAGAGAGAGTGACAAGTGGAGTCTGTATACGTGTGTGTATAGACACTAAGACTCAGGGTAGGGCCCTTATTCCCTTTAGGAGGGGCTGTTGGTTCCCTGATAAAGCCCCTTTTAAGCCAAGAAGGGCACCCTTTTTATTGCTACCTTACTTTTGAGTCTAGGACATTAGACATGCAGGCACAGGTTCATGGTCAGGAGTTCTCCTGGCAGATCCCGCATCCCAGCTTCAGCAGCCATCGCCCCAAACCTCTTAGACCCTAAGTGGGGGTTGACGAACATAAAAGGGACCCCGAATCTAGACCCCAAATAGTAGGTGATTCCCTTTTCATCAAAGACAACAGTAAGGTACCCCTAATGTCGGAAACCCCCAACTGTTCCAACATCCGATCTGGAGTGGCAAGCTTGGGCCCAAAATGCCCGTCACCAGAAACTGCTCTTAGGGATACTTGAGAATGCTCTTTAAATATAATCTTTGGGCACTAGAATTCAGAAGAAACAGCTGATTTTTTTGCTAGGGTTCCAAGTTCAGTATGGTGCTGAGGAAGCATATGATGCTAACCTTGGTGGGGACGATCTCGATCCTCCCCGTCATTATCCTTTTCATCATGGCGGTTGTGTTGCCCGGGACTCTGCCGTCCGGGCTTAGGGTCAGGGTTTAGGGTTTAGGATTTTAATTTAGGGTTTTTGGCTTGTGGCGGGCTGACGTGTTTTTCAAAGCATTGGCGCTCAAGGGTTTTTGGGTTTTAGGGTTCAGGGGGGGCCTGGGTGAACTGCTGGATATGGGGTGTGCGTGTTCACTTAGACCACTTACCCTAAGCCCTAAACCCTAAAACCTAAACCTTCCTCAAAGGCTTCCCCACTCCTGGCACCGACTATTGGGGTTTAGGGTACCAGCCTCAGCGCCCAAGCCCAGAGACCTTGGAAGTCCGCCACTTCGGCAGCTCCAAGAACAACCTCCACCACACCCCCCTGAAGAGCTCCCTCAACCCTAACCCCCAAACCCCCCCAAACCCTAAGCCCTAAACCCTCCCGCGTTTTTGTGACGTATGGGTTTGTGAAAGCGAGGGTGCTCTTGGGGGGGTTCCTGCTAGGATCAGAGTATGTTGGGGCATACTAGGTGGCACCCCTCTTTGGGAAATAGCCATATCCGATATCCAATGCGTTGCAGATTTGGTGTGTAGAGATGTGGATGTATACGTACATGCATATGTATGTCTGTATTGTAGCCTTTTGTGGTAGAGTATAGCATCTTATTGTGTACTATTACATATTCCATTTTGTTTATGGGAATCTCAGGTTCTATTGTCCCTTAGTAATACTTCTAAACCCCAGTAAGAAGTAGCAGCTTCTTTGTTTGTTTTTACCTCGCTTGGGAACACCGTCATGGCTCCCAGATCACAGACTTCAGGGTTGAGGCTTGGGGGTGCAATTCCTCCTCCGCCCCCTCGATTCTCCCCCTTCCGCCCCCCTCTGCACGCCCACCTGATCCAGCCCAAGGTTCCTCGTTTCGGGTTTGGGGGGTTTGGGGGCTGGAGAAGCCCCTCAAACCCTAAGATTCCCAACAGGTTTAGGGGGTTCAGGGGCTTTCAGGCTTGGAAAAGCCCCTCATAGTAAAACCCTAAACCCTAAACCCTAAACCCTAAACCCTAAACCCTAAACCCTAGTACGTACATAAAGTCAGGTGCCGGGAGGCCCGGAAGATCCGGTCTTCCTGGACAGAGAACAAGAAGTCTGGCTCACTCGCCTTCGCCTCGGCATGGCCGTGAAGGGAGCTCCTGAAACCAAGGGTGAGCCCTAGAAAAACACTACTTGGAGGTTCTGCGAGGTACGTATAAGGGTTAGAAAGTACCCTACTTGCGTACTGCCATGACTTTGAGGTCTTGAGGTGGCTTCCATTTTGAGGCCTGCTGTTACAGACATTGAACACAAAGGCGCCCGTTCTGAAAGAGTACGATACTATATCGAACTTCACATCGTGTGTACTCCAGCGCAGCAACACCAAGCCCAATACCCTGTAAACCCCTATATGAACCCCAAACGTAATCTGGTACACGAAATTCTCTTCGACCCTGAGCCCTTCAACCCTCAACCCTAAATCCTAAACCAGCAAAAGGGCTTGTTTCCAAACCCAGTGCGGGATTTGCAAGGCGGAACCAAACCCGCAACTCAAACCCTAACCCGGTAACCCTTTAGGGATTAGAGCCCAAAACTCACGCAGTTTTCTCAACCTAAAACCGAACCCTACAACTTGGGATCTTCCCCCTTATACCAACAGACCTTAAGAGGGATTATCGTACCCCCCCCCCCCTTTTATCATAATCCCTACTAAGCTGTTAAACTCAGGGGAACACCCCAAGCTAAAACCCCTAAACCCTAAACCCTAAACCCTAAACACCCTCAACTGCGACTGCAGAGTAGGTCATCTCGCCCTACGCTGCAGAGTCTGAAGACTCGCCGCAGGCCCCTGGCGACGTTGGGCTTCTCCCGTCTGGTTCGTAGTAGGGAATGAGGGAATTAGGGATATATGAAGCAGGGTTTATATTTCTGTTTTTGGTGAGTGTGTATAAGGTTCCTTTTTAATATTGGTGAGTGTATATACCTGGTGTTCTTTTGGGGGTACAAGAATTATATACCCTACTTCATATATATATATATATATATAAATACACACACACACCCTTGTAGGGATTGTATAGGATACCTCATTCCCTCATGCCATACTAAGAACCAGCCGGTTTTACGGCTTACGGATGCTGTACATGGGGTTTCCGAAATTAGGGTGTGCCTTGTTGGGGGGGGGGGTGTAGATTAGGGGTCCCTTATTTTCATTCTCGTACATAAACCCTCACATGTTCCCTCCTAAGTGGGGCCCGGCCCTACACTAGTAGGGTCTCAATAGATGCCCCTTAAATCTGCAATGCAGCTTTCCCCTTGCTAAGTGGCCACAATCTGGGTTGGGCGGCCTGGTGGGGTTCAGGGTTTAGGGTTCAGGATTTAGGGTTTAGGATTGTTTGTTGATCCAAAGGATGGCCGTGTAAAGGCGGGATCATGTGTGGTTCTAGGGTTTAGGGTTGTGGGGTTTAGGGTTTAGGGTTTCAGGGTAGACATGTCACGGTAAATGTGGGGACCCTGATTTCGAACCATTCCGGTACGACACGCCAAGAACAGCCCTGACAGTGACAAGTTGCATGCGATGATAGGTTTAGGGTTTAGGGTTTAGGGTTTAGGGTTACACATCAATGCGGTAGGCACGGTTTTGAGGTTTCGGACCCTGCGGTCCTCCCTGTCAAGGTGCCAACAGTATCAACCGCGCCGAAACACCTGAAACCTGACCTGCGGCTTAAGGAGTTCAGGGTTTCTCAGCCACCCCCCCGCCACCCCCCCCACCCCCCCCCGCGCCCCTTAAACCCCAAACCCCAAACCCCAAACCCTAAACCCTAAACCCTAAACCCTAACCCTAAACCCTAAACCCTAAACCCTAAACCCTAAACCCTAACCATGCGAGGTGACCTCCACTGTGGTCCAGCTGATCCGCTTACTTCGTATCTGCGTGCCGTCCATTTGGACGGAGTCGCCTGGCCGAAGTCGCCAGATCGCTTGGGCTGCTTTCGGGGTTTTGGGGTTTAGGGGTTTAGGGTTTAGGGTTTAGGGGATTCGGGGATTTGGGGTTTTGGGGTTTTGGGGTTTAGGGTTTAGGTTTTAGGGTTCTGGTTGGGATGCCCCCTTATACCAACAGTCCTTGTGTGAGCAAGAGGGGCGAACGTGCCAAGTTTCTGGGTTTCAGGTTTCGTGGTTGGTCTTTCGGCTTAAGATGGCTTAAGTGGACCCCTCAGATTCAGAGATTCAGGGTTGCACGGCTCCTCCAAGCTATACCCTAAACCCTGAACCATAAACCCGAAACCCTAAACCCTAAACCCTTAACCCTAAACCCTGAACCCTAAATCCTAAACCCTACAAGCAACCTCCCCTTTCTGGTAGCTACCATCCTGTCCGATCCCAGGCAAGCCTTCTGGCTATGCTCTGCCGTCGTCCTTTCTCTGCTCCTGAGCTTCTTAAGACCACAGGAGCCCCAAAGGGCTTAGGGTGTGGGGTGTCGGGTTTAGGGTTTAGGGTTGCACTTGGTGTTTCTATATATATATGTGTATATGTATGTATGTATGTATATACATATATATATATACACACATATATATATATATGTATATTGTTTTAGGGCTATAGCAGGGCCACTTGCTGATTACCGACTTCACCTTCTTGTTCCTAGGCTGCCCCGGAAGCGGCTTGCTGGGCTTAGGGCCTTTAGGGCTTCAGAGCTTCAAGTCATCGAGTTTCATTCCCTTTTGGTGCTGGTTTAGGGTTTTTAAGTGATGCATTGCTTGGGGCTTCTCTTTTTTTAGGGTTGAGGAGGGGGGAGGGTTCCAATGTACGGGATCCAGGTGTGTGGTCCCTCTTGTGGGTGGTGTGCAGGTGCTTAAGGTAATGGTTCTAGGGGTCAGGGTCAAAGGGGGAGTTTGGCAGTAGGCCCACCCATTTTGCCCAGCTCGAGGGTGAAGCCCACCAGCATGTGCTGTTGTTAAGTCACCCCAGTCCCTCGACGCAGCCTAGGGTACCCCTCCTGCCCTGAACCCAAAAAACCCGACGCCCTTTCTTCATTCGTTTCCTGGCAGACGCAGCTGTGCAAGGCTTCTGATATCAACAGGCAACGGTTGGGTGATCCTAAACCCCTGGCATTCACACACGCCGATCGTCCTCGCCGCAAGGCTCTGTGTCATAGCTTGTGATTTCCACATTCGTGCCATTGATGATGTATTCATTGTGTTCTTCCAGGATGGCCTGCAAACGGGCATGTGGAAGAAGTTCCGGCATCCGTGTGCGTTCAGTGACACGATCGCTTCGTGAGGCTCTGATGTGCTCTGCCTGTCTCACTCTAACCGCAAGAAGGGGACGGGCTATGCTGTGCGATGACAGACGTTTGACTCCAACATCTGTCATGAAAACCACGGCATGGCCCGTCCCCTTTTTGCGGACGGTGACGACTTCTCCAACCTGTCACAGGAATGCCCAACATGTCTAAGGCGCCCAAGAAGAACGACCAACTCATCCAACCTCCAACCTTGCTTTCAGGACCTCCCACGCAACCTGCAGTGATTGTCAAGAGTCCCTGAGGCCTTTGTCGCCACGGTCCCGTCTGTCCTCCATCATCTGCTGCGGGCACGGAGCCCACCGAGGCCTCCAGAAACTGATCCGTTCTCCGAAGCTCGTCTCCACCCCCCCCTTTACAGTGCTGCGGAGGGGGAGGAGACGAGCTTTGGAGAACGGATCACTCGCACGCCCTCGACTGGAGGCCTCACCGGGCTCCGTGCCCGAGAGGAGACAGACAGGCAGGCTGTCAATCGGCGGCTTCGTGCGCGGCGGCGCTACGTTTGCCATGGGGGGCCTCGCGCATGGTGAAGTAAGGGCGCGGAGGAAAGCCGGTTATGAAACTGGGTGTCAAGCCGACACTTGCAGAGCTGCCTGAGGCAGCGGAGGTCCCTGAAGAGAGAGAGGTCCGCGCGGGTGCGGCCACAGTCAGGAAACAGCATTCAGGAAACAGCCCAGACACAGTCAGAAAATTAAGGGATGCCAACTGAGGAAAGCCACAACTCACGATGCTCATAAAATCCTTTGCACTTTATTGGCTTGATGTGCGGCTATCAGCTCCTCCTAGACTTGCAACAGTGCGGCTGCTGTTCAGCACGTTGGCGCCTACGTTCCACGAGTGGTCTGGTTTATTGGGTATCGGCTGTGGGTCACTCCAGATATTAGGGGAGCTTTCAGTGTCACCTGACAGTGAAGGTTAGAACATGAGATGCCCTAAACCCTAAACCCTTCAGCTGCGAAACCCTCAACTTGCCCTAAGCCCGAAACCCACCCATCGCCAAGGTTCTACGGACTTCTCGCTTGCTTAGCCGCGGCCTGGGGTTTCGGGAACAGCCCTGCTGAGTGTTCTTGCTTTGGAGACCCCTAAACCCTAAACCCTAAACCCTAAACCCTAAACCCTAAACCCTAAACCCTAAACCCTAAACCCTAAACCCTAAACCCTAAACCCTAAACCCTAAACCCTAAACCCTAAACCCTAAACCCTAAACCCTAAGCCCATGGCCTGTGAGGCTTCTACTTGAAAAGCTTGAGGGTAAACTCTAAACTTCACGGTGCTTACCTTACTCCTAGTTGTCGACAGGAGAAATTTCAGAATTAGGTACCTTAAACCCCCCCCCCCCCCCCAAGAACCCTTCATGGCATGATTAGGGCCCCTACCCCACCCTCATTCCCTCTTTGGGGCAGCTACAAAGACTCAAACCCTAAACCCTCAACCCCTAACCCCTAAGCCCTAAACCCTAAACCCTAAACCTTATAAACCCTAAACCCTGCAGCCCCAGCCTCCACCCCAATCAAGCTCCCGAACTGCCTTAAGCAAAATCACTCAAAAAGGCTCCCAGGATCCCTCAGCTCCTGTGCAAAACCTTTTAACTTGCAGACTCCTGTGGGCTTTTGGATGTTAGGGTTTAGTAGGGTTTAGGGTTTAGGGTTTAGGGTTTAGGGTTTAGGGTTTAGGGTTTAGGGTTTAGGGAAGGGTTTAGCGTATCTACCTAAACTCAAGAATTCCACATTTCACAGTTCCCTATCGACCCTGCACAGTGAACCCTGCACACGTACCCCTAACAACCGATATTGGTTCAGGCATACTCCCTACCCTCCCTACCTTTGCTTTGGTACTTTCATCGACGGGTGCTTCTAACCCCAACCAATGACATGTCTACTTATAGCCTACTTAATTAGAGGACTTGGGGGACTTAGGGGGGCTTACAAGTACGGTTATAGTTGTGGTTGTAAGTACCCTGAACCTCCAAGTAGTCGTGACCCCTAAGCCCTAAACCCTAAACCCTAAACCCTAAGGGTTTACCCTCTACTTTCATCGACCCCAAAACCCTGAGCCCTTGGGTTGGGTTGTGGGCTCGGGCGAAGCTCCAGGTTCCGAGCGTCCTCGTCCGCCCCCTCTGGACGATGGCCTGGTGCTGATGGGGGGGGGGGGGGGTGGGTTGGTTTAGGGTTCCGGGTTCTGGGTTCAGGGTTCAGGGTTTAGGGTTTAGGGTTTTTGGTTTAGGGGGGTTTAGGGGGGTTTTGGGTTGTTTCGGGTTGTTTACGGTTGTTTCGGGTTGTTTCGTGTTGTTTCGGGTTGTTTCGGGTTGTTTAGGGCTGTTTAGGGCTGTTTAGGGATGTTTAGGGCCGTTTAGGGCCGTTTGGGGCTGTTTAGGGCCTTACGCTTCGGGACATAGGTCCCAACAACCTGGCATTTGCGCGTCTCACTGCAAGTTCTGCAACGCCGAAAGCCGTCTTCTATGACGTCAACTCCTGGTCTTTAGATGGGTAGGGTATTTTTTTTGTGTTTTTTTTTGGTTTTTTTTGTGTTTTTTTTCTGTTTTTTAAGCAAGAAAGAAAGAAAGACAGAAAGAGAGAAAGAAATAAAGAAAGAAAGAAAGACAGAAAGAGAGAAAGAAACAAAGAAAGAAAGAAAGAAAGAAAGGAAAGCAAGACAGAAAGAAAGAAAGAAAGGGAAGAAAGAAAGGAAGAAATAAAGGAAAGAAAGAAAGGAAAGCAAGACAGAAAGAAAGAAATAACTAAAGAAAGAAAGGCCGAAAGAAAGGAAAGCAAGACAGAAATAAAGAAAGAAAGAGAGAAACAAAGAAAGAAAGAAAGAGAGAAAGAAAGAAAGAAGGAAAGCAAGACAGAAAGAAAGAAAGAAAGAGAGAAAGAAAGAAAGAAAGAGAGAAAGAAAGAAAGAAAGAAAGAAAGAAAGAAAGAGAGAAAGAAAGAAAGAAAGAAAGAAAGAAAGAGAGAAAGAAAGAAAGAAAGACAGAAAGAAAGAAAGAAATAACCCCCCCCCCCCGCTTTGTTTAAGCCGTGCAAGCTTGCCTCAAAGCATATGCCATATGCACACTTTTGCGGAAACCCATCATGCGAGAATCGTCACATTTTCGGAAACCCATCATGCGAGAATTGTGTTTGCAAATGGGGGGGGCTGCGCCCCCCCCAACCCCCCCGCTTTCTCAAGCCGTGCAAGCTTGCCTCAAAGCATATGCCATATGCACACATTTTCGGAAACCCATCATGCGAGAATCGTGTTTGCAAATGGGGGGGGCTGCGCCCCCCCCAACCCCCCGCTTCCCGCAACACACCCTACACCCTAAACCCTAAGCCCTAGTTCCGGACTGAAGGGGCAATGATACGAGGAGCAACCTTGACCCCGCAAACCGTAGAGCCTAATAAGACCCAAACCGTCCACCATAAGCCGCAAATCCTGATAGCATGTTTGCGGCCTACATGCGCAGTAAGCCCTAAACCGAAGCAAAGTTTCAGATTGAAGCATCCGAGGTTCCTCTTGAACCAGCCCCGGACGTTAACTAGCTTTTGAGTCCTGTCGGGGCCAACGATGGCCGCCCCGACGCTCCAAGCGCGAGTTGCAAAAGGACGAAGGGTTGGACGTAATGTGTTGTTGTAGCACGTTGAGATTTGGACCTGTTCCGGACACGCGGTGCCGCTGAGAGGCCATCGGAAGCTGAAAACCAGCAAAATTCACCAAAAAAACCAAAAAAATGCACAGAAAAGAATTCCCACCAGAGGAGGGCGACAGGCAGAACCAGGAGGGCATGTTCTGAAAACCACAAGAAAAGCAAGAAAAAGCAAGAAAATTCACAAAAAAAACCAGAAAAATTAACAAAAAAAATCCTCGCTCCTCTTTAGATCATGAAGCGGCGTCGAGCGGCTGGAGCGGGTATTGGAATCTTGTCCGAGAGTATGCACCCTAAACCCTAAACCCTAAAACCTAAACCCCAAACCCCAAACCCCAAACCCCAAACCCCAAACCCCAAACCCTAAACCCTAAACCCTAAACCCTAAACCCTAAACCCTAAACCCTAAACCCTAAACCCTAAACCCTAAACCCTAAACCCTAAACCCTAAACCCTAAACCCTAAACCCTAAACCCAGCCTGGCTCCGAAACCAGTTGCAAGCGGTGGGAACCAATCCCAGACGCTGCGCTGAAGGGTTGCTGGGGGAGTGCCAACCCTACTGGCATCACCTCTCTGAGCAGGGAAGGCTGTTTAGGGTTTCGGGTTGTTTAAATTAGGGCTGTTTAGGGTGGTTTAGGGGGGTTTAGGGTGGTTTAGGGTGGTTTAGGGTTGGTTTAGGGTTGGTTTAGGGTTTGTTTAGGGTTGTTTAAGGGTTTGTTTAGGGTTTGTTAAGGGTTTTTTTAGGGTTTGCTTAGGGTTTGTCTAGGGTTTGTCTAGGGGTTTGTTTAGGGTTTGTTTAGGGTGGTTTAGGGTTTAGGGTTTAGGGCTTAGGGTGGGGGCGGGAAAGGGGAGGAAGGGGTTTGGAGGGGTTGGGGCTCTTGAGTACGGGGGGTGGGTTGGGGTTTGGGGGTTTGGGGCTTTTGGGTATGCGCAGGTTTTTGGGCTGAGGGGTTAGGGTGTCTGAGGATCACTCGCCTTCAGGGGGAGAGGGGGGGCAGGAGGATTGGGCATGGAGGTGCAAGGCCTGCTGTGATATGGCGCAGAAAGTAGAAGCCCTCAACCCTAAACCCTGCCTAAACCCTACACCCTATTGAAGAGTTCGTAATGTGCGAAGTGCATTGGAAAGCCACTTGAGTTGCATGGTTTGTTCCATTGCCTCTTTGGGGTTTAGGCTTTAGGGACGACGAGTACGACAGTACGACGAGTACTTTACTCACGGGTTAGGGTTTAGGGTTTCGGGTCACCCCAGGCCATGGACGAGGTTGGCCCTTAACACCCTCTGAAAGAAAAAACGCCCAAAAGATGTTTCTTTCAAGCCCATTACCAGGGCACACGGGGCATCATCCCTTAAACACCGAAACCCTACATCCTAAACCCTAAACACTGAACACTAACCCCCCCCCCCCCCCAAAGCCATTTCCTCCCCTCCCGAGGTCAAGGCCGATCTGCCTGAAGCATTCAGGGCCTTCGTGGTCATCATGCTCGGGTACAACGCCTCCATCGCCATTATGAAGGCCTTAGTAGTAGAGTTTAGGGTTTAGGGTTTAGGGTTTAGGGTTTAGGGTTTAGGGTTTAGGGCGGGGGATTACAATCCCTATAGAATCCCAAATGTTAACCTTTAGTTCGTCAGGGTACTGGACATCTAAGAAGGCGAAGTGCAACGAGGGGCTGTTAGGGACAGTTAGGGCCGGGTGTTCAAGTCTTTGCAGGGTTTAGGGTTTAGGGGACCCCAAACCCTGAACCCAAAGGCTAGGGCGGGCGTAGGGTGTTTTTTGGGGGGGTTGGGTGTTTTGGGGTTCTGGAAGCGCGTCGCAGTTTCGGCAGCAGGCTGCACACTGTAGGAGCACTGCTGCTTAGATGCTTTTGTCCTGACGCTTGTGAGTGGTATGGTCGGAAATGCCGTCTCGGGTTTTGGGTTGTTGAGGCCGCTCCATGTGGGTTTGAACGAAGAGTTCGCACCGAAATAATCGGAACCGTGCAAGGCGTTCCAAAAGCCTTAGGGCCTGAGGTTAGCATGTCACTTTGGTTCACCTTTGAACGCCTGCTACAGCCTTGGAGACCCGATATCCTTAGCACATGGGGGGTTGTTCATAGGTTTTTTTTTTGCGGTTAGCTTGGGGTTTGAAGATTTCGGGTGTAAGGAGTTTCCTTGGGTTTTTTTGATACGCCAGAGACCCACCAGAGCAAGATTTCTCGACGCGGAGAGCAGGCTCGAGAGCCATCCGGCCCCGATCCCGAGCAGGCGTCCCATGCTGCGTGTGTACATGGTTTCGGGCCAAGAGGTCGCCAACTTCCCCCTGGACGACCTCAAAGAGTCCGGGGATCAGTCCGTGCGAGCTCTGAAGCGCAGGCTCACAAGCCGGTGCGGGCTGTCCCGATTCAAGCAGCGGCTGCTGCTTCGGGACGGCACGATTCTGCTCGACGGCGCGCATCTTGATGGACTTCTTGAGGTCCAGCTGGTGCTCCTGGACTTCGCAGAGAGTTCCCGAAACCAGGCAATCGAGCTGATTGCAGCCGCAAGGCGCAACAACGTCCCAAAGGTGGAGGACTTGTTGCAGCGACCCCAGGATCCAGACCAGACAGATGGTCACCGCATCCCGCTGGTCAATGCATCCTACCACGGCCACGTGGAAGTCGTCCGCCTCTTACTGGAGGCTGGTGCAGACACAAACAAGGCTCGGCACGATGGCTCGACTCCTCTGATTGTGGCTTGCTCTAATGGCTTCTCAGACGTCGTTTGCCTGCTCTTGGAGGGTGGTGCCGACAAGGACAAGCCAGGACCAAGCGGCGGGACCCCACTGCTGCTGGCGTGTCAGAACGGGCATTTGCAAGTTGCGCGGCTCCTGTTGAAGGCCGGCGCCGACAAAAACAAGGCCCGTGACAATGGTGCCACCCCGCTGTTCGTCGCGTGCCAGCAGGGCCACGTCGAAGTTGTCCGCTTGCTGTTGGAGGCGGACGCCGATGTGGACAAGGGCTGCGACAATGGCGCAACACCCTTGTGCATCGCGTGTATGCAGGGTGGCTTGCAAGTCGCCGCGTTCCACACGCTGGCTCAGTCTGGTGAAATCTCAGACGATGCTTGGTGGTTTCAAAGGTTCCAGCTGTTCTGCGAGTTTCGGCACGTGCTTGTTGTTCGACTGTTGCTGGAGGCGCGCGCCAACGCAGACAAGGTCGTGGACGGCGCTACACCTCTGTTCAGGGCATGCCAACAGGGCCATGAGGAGGTCGTCCGTATGTTGCTCGAGGCTGGTGCAGACAAAGACATGGCTGCTGCCGACGGCTCGACCCCTTTGCTTGCAGCTTCTGCCGGAGGGCACTTGAAAGTGGTACCTTGGGGATACTTGGAAATATTCTCTTTCTTGGGGGCACTTTAATTCCTAAGAAACTGCCAACGTGATGATTTTTGCTTGGGTTCCAAGTTCAGTATAGGTTCAACTGCTGCTGGAGGCCGGAGCTGATTCTGACAAGGCCAGCGACAGTGGTGACACGCCTTCGGACATGGCTTTCCGACGAAGTCATCTTGGGATGGCGGACCCGCTCACGGGAAGGCAGCCCGCAAAGAGGGCCAGGCTTTCTGCAAATTAGGAATTCGTCGCCTTGCGCCCCTCTGCACCCCACAAGTACCCTGAAAAAGGTCGAACAAAACCCCACACCCGCAATGCACCCCATACAGGGCGTTCTCAGGGCCTTGTATTCGGGAGTATTCGGGTATCTTGCAGGGTACTTGGGGGAGTCTGATGCTCCAGGTAGGCCCTTGGTAGAAACCCCAAACCCAAACCTCAAACCCTAAACCCTAATCCCTATAGCCCTAGACCCTATGGCCCTAAACCCTAAACTCTATCTAAAATATGTGCGTCAGAGGGCTTCTTAAGGGGCTCTTTTGATTCCAGGTTGGGGTTTATGCAGGGCTTGGGGTTTAGGGCTTCCCTTAACCCTAAACCCTAAACCCTAAACCCTCAACCCTCAACCCTAAACCCTAAACCCTAAACCCTAAACCTTACAGTGTCGTTCAGAGCTCAGGCTGCCAGAACTCAGACGATGGTCGCGATAGCTACATGGGATTCACGGACCCTAAGTAAGTTCCCTGTCAAGCGTAAGTGTCGAGTTCAAGCCTCATACCTGAGGCCAAACCCTAAACCCTAAACCCTCAACCCTAAACTGAGACCCTACCCTACCTATTAGGGCTTATGGTTTAGACTTTCAGCGTCTCTTGGGATGTTTTGTTTTTTTCTCCTTGTTGGGATCAAGAGAATCCTAAACCCTAAATCTCAAACCCTAAACCCTTGACCCTTCATAAGGGCCAACCAAACACTTGAAGCCCCGAAGCTCCTCGTAAATCCTGAAGCCTTGCACGGCTGTTTAAAGCCCTACTAGGTTTAGGGTTTAGGTATCATATAGGGCTATAAGCCCTCAACCCTCAACCCCTTTTGCTCTTGTTGTACCTTTGCTGGTATTCTTCCGGGTTTCGGAACCCCAAACCCTAAACCCTAAACCCTAAACCCTAAACCCTAAACCCTAAACCCTAAGCCCTAAGCCCTAAGCCCTAAGCCCTAAGCCCTAAACCCTAAACCCTAAACCCTAAACTATAACTATAAACCGAAACCCTAAGTCCCGAAACAAAGCCCAAGAGCAACACCCTGAGCCCCGAGCCCTGAGCCAAAGGCGGCCATGAACTTCTGCGGCATGCGCGCAATGATCGCCTTCCGCCGCGCGCTCACAGACCCTCGGCCCCTACTATGGGGGAGGCTAGGTAGGCCCTTTGGGGCATGTTGGGTTTAGGGTTTATTTAGGGTTTAGGGTAGGGTTTAGGGTTTAGGCTTTAGGGGTTAGGGTTTATAGTTTCCATAATTGGGTTGAAGAAAAGCGTTTCTAGGAAGATGTTTCAGAAGGTGTTAATTCAGGGCCATCAGAGGCTAGCTGTGCGGTTTAGGGCTTGGGCCCTCTAGTGGGGCTTAGGGCTCCGGGGTATTTAAGGTTTATAGGGTTTATAGGGTTTATTGGGTTTATAGGGTTTATAGGGTTTATAGGGTTTATAGGGTTTATAGGGTTTACAGGGCCTAAAGGGCCGAACCCAACCCTAACACCCGGAGCCCTTGGTGGAGCCAGGAGCACCACCACGCGGCCTACATGAGCCGCGAGGGCCGGCTCTACTACACGATCGGCGCCTCGGTGCTACCCTAAACCCTAAACCCGAAACCCGAAACCCTAAACCCACTTGTGGGGTAAGGTCGCGGGGTTTTGGGTCGTGGGCTTTGGGCTTCGGGTCGAGATTGAAGGGTTTGATGGCTTCTGGTCTAGCTTGCGGAGGATAAGTGACCCTGCACTTTGGTTCATCTTCTGCTGATTTAGTCCTCAACCCTGAACCAAAAAGAACACGTTAGAAAAAAGAGGGGCCCAGGAATCAGTACCCTAAACCCTGAACCCTCAGCCCTAAACCCTAAACCTACATAGTAGGATACCCAAGGCCTTGTAGACTGAAAGCCGAAGAAAGAAGCCTCCTGAAGCACCAGAGCCTCTGCTTGGAGGTTCGTGGGTACTTAGAAGCAGAGTTACTTAGTAGCTGAATGTGGGATATTATAATTCCCCATAAAACTGAAAGTGTACACTTTTGGGGCTTATGAACTCAGCAACGAAGGTTGTTAGTAGGGTAATTCTGGTTATAACCTTTCTTCTTGGGCTACTTGTAACCCTGGACCCTAAACTCCAAACCCTCAACTCGAAACCCTAAACCCCAAAACCGGACCCTGCTTAGAAGTACCCCCGGAACCTTGCCATAAGCCCCACTGTCCGCCAGGGCTTAGAGCAACATCCAAAACCTGAACCAGGTTTAGGGTTTATGGTTTAGGGCTTAGGGTTTAGGGTTTAGGCTGTAGGGTATTAGGGTACCAGGGCAATCAGGGTTTAGGGTTTAGGGTATAAAACCCTAAAGCCTCCCGAAAAACTCAGGCAATCTAGACTACCGGATCGAAACTCCCGACGCCATCATCACCAACGACACCGACCTGCTCTTGCAGTTCCTGTTCGAGTTTGTTTTCGGGGGGCCGCGCGGATGCATACGTTTAGTCAACGCTGCGGTATCGGGTTTAGGGTTCAGGGTTTCACAAGTCACGGATGTTTTGGGAAGGGGCCCTATGGCCCTATGGCTAAGGTTTTGAGGTTGAGACCCTAAACCTTGAACCTGAATCCCAATCGACGCTTCTCGCCAGCCAGCTACAGAAAACCCCCCTTGAACCCTAAACTCCTTGCACCCCCTTAACCCCCTCCAGAAACTCTGACAGAAGTTAACCAAACCCTTCCACTGCCCCTAACCCTTACACTGCCCCTTCTTGCCCTTCTTGCCCTAAACCCTAAAGTCTAGGTTCAGGCGGCTAGCTTTTACCCCTTACAGACAGAAACCCTTCGAAGCCCGAAACCCTACACCCTAAAACGGTACTTGAGAAAAATGGGAACTCCAAAGATGGGAACTCCTGTCCCGAAGGTTGCTCTTAAACCAGAAGCGCGACAAAAGCTGAACATTCCCGAAACCCGAAACCCTAAACCCTAAACCCTAAACCCTAAACCCTAAACCCTAAACCCTGCTCTTAAACAAGCACACCAAAAAGGGCCCAACATGCTGAGGATCATGAAGCCGGAGAGCGGCTCCTTTTGTCAGCACCGCGGCTGCCGTGGGACGTGTTCGAGAGGATGCATTGGGGTTTAGGGTTTAGGGTTTAGGGTTTAGGGTTTAGGGTCTTGGGTTTTGGGTTTTGGGCTTAGGTTACGGTTTGGAGGTTATAGGGTTTGGGGTTTTGGGGGATCTTTTTGGGGTGTAGCGTTGTTTGTAGGTTGTTGGATTTCGGGTTTGGGGTTGCGGGCTTAGGGGTTTTCTGGCTTCAGGGTTTTGAGCGGGTCGGAACCCGTGAGTGTGGCGGTGCAGTGGTGGGGACCTGTGCCACCCTACCCCTCCCGAAAATGTCCCACGTGTGGCTTAGTGAAGGGTGTCCTAAGCCCTAAACCCTAAACCCTAAACCCTAAACCCTAAACCCTAAACCCTAAACCCTAAACCCTAAACCCTAAACCTTGGGGGCGTTGCTTCGTTTTGCATCCAGAAGGCAGCGTTTTGGGAGGTCTGGGGATGCCAGGCGTGGCAGCCCCTATTTTTTTCTCAACTCTGGGTCCTCAACCGTCGAGGTTCAGGCTTCAGGGTAGAGGGTGTAGCCCCCAAACCCCTAACATAAACCCTCAAATCCCACACCCCCAAGCCCCTAAACCCTACGCAAATCCTAACACCCCCAAAGCCCTAAAACCCGGGACCCCTTTTTGAACCCCAGGCTTTTTTTCCTGGTTTTCACGGTGGCCGTGGCCTACTCGGAAGCCGAGGCGCCTCTTCAGAAGTAGGGACTTCGGGTTTAGGTTTTAGGGTTTAGGAGGGCTCCGGGATAAAGATTTTTGTCTGCCCCACCTTCGGTGTGGGTTCTTAGATTCTTGGTTCCCAGCCCCAGAGTATTCTCAGAGTGTCTTTTGGAGTGCCCAAGCCCAGAGTGTTCCTGGAGCGCCCGACCGTCCCAACTCCAAAAAAAATCGAAATCTTGAGGGTGGGGATTTTCGAAGTAAAACAACTCGTATATAAATAAACAGAAACATCTCTTTTTTATATACATATATGTATATACACTTTCTATGCTATTTTATTTGTGTGCGGGGGGGGGGGGGGGGGGTTGTGTTTAGGGTTTAGTTTAGGCGGCGCTTGCAGCTCCAGGCCCAAGACTTTCGGGCTTCGGTGCACCGACGGCTCAAAAGCAGTTCAGTGCCACACCCACAGAAAATAGACTTCCCGATAAGGGCAATATGGGATTTGTTCTCTTGTGTTTTTCGGGGGTTCTTATAAGCAAACAGTAGTACAGCACATCCCCGAATCGGCCCTGACATCAAATCCCTGGATCTATGACCAACATGATAAATACTTGTCTTTAATCTTGAAGTCGTACTCTTTGTTGTTTTGTGGCATGTCATTGAGTTGGCGTAGGGCCTGGGTGCCAGATGCTGACGGCAGTCTAAGCTTTGGGACGTATCTGGCGACGACCTTCACATTCCCGAGCCTTGTTGTCATTCCATGCTGACCGACCTGCGAGACCTTCCCTAAACCCTAAACCTTCAACCCTAAACCCCAAAACCCCAAAACCCTAAAACCCTAAAACCCTAAAATTTAAGAGCCGATTCCAGCCCAACAACCGCAGATGGGGGGGGGGGGGTAGGGCGGGGGTGGGGGGGGGGGGGGGGCAGGGGGGGGCAGGGGGGGCCAGGGGGGGGGGGGGGGGGGGGGGGGGTAGGGGGGGGGGGTGGGAAACAGAGCACGGTTGGGTAGGGGGGGGTAGGGGGGGTGTAGGGGGTGGGGGGTGGGGGGGGGGGGGAGGGTTGGGGGGTGGGTTTTTTTCCAAAGGATGCTGGTTGGGTCCCCGGGTACGTCGGCCCGCCATTGCGCGGGTCAGTTGGGGGTATGGGCCGGGCTCACGCGCCCATGCAGAAGGTGATTAGAATCTCTAATATCGGGGACTGAAGAATTAGAACAGGGTTTGGGGGGTGTTGTAATAAGGAGACCATAAGGGAACACTATTAATGATTATTCCTATCCCTATATGATTCGAGCGTCTTCCCTGTAGTTCACTCAAACCCCAGACCCTACAGGCCTAACATGTAAACACTAGACCTTGAAATGCTTGAATTTATGTATAGGATGAACATCATTAAACTCACCCTTCCTGCCCCTGAACCCTAAACCCTAAAACCCTAAAACCCTAACAAGCCTGGCCCCCTACACCCAAAAACCCTAAAACAATACAACCCTAAACCCTAAACCCTAGACCCTAAACCCCCGTGCGCGCAGGACGGTGCTCCAGGTTGGGGGTTGCCTTCGATTGGCACCTCAGCCTCGCGCTGTGGTGTGTTTTGTTAGTTTAGGGGTTTAGGATTGTAGGGCTTAGGGTTTAGGCTTCTAGGGTTCAGGGTTTAGGGTTGTAGGGTTTTAGGGTTTTTGGGTTTAGGGGACCAGGTTTGATAGGATTGTGGAGATGGAGGTGTTGGGGGAGGAACGACCCTGCACCCTCCAAACCTCATGAACCCTAGAAGCCCTAGAACCTGTAAGACTCTAAGCCCCCTTTCAGATAAAGCCTGTTTCCCTTCATATTGATCCTGTTTGAACCTTTACTATAAGCCCGAACCACACACCCCATAAAGCGCGTTTCTACTCGTTTGTAAACCTGGGAAACCTCACTAAGAACTCTTTACACCCCAAAAACCTGATCCGTGAACCCTACAAACCCAAGGATTGTTTTTTGAACATCCTGCAAACCCAATGTAAAACCCCCTTGGCCCGAACATCAGCTCGGTGTTAAACCCTACAAACTCAAGCCAAAACCGTATAAGCTTACTACCAATTCCATTCTACCTATGATCAAACCCCTAAACCCTATCAACCTTCTGGACCGAGGCATAGCATTTGCGGTGGTGGTCATTTCTCTAGTTCCCACGCTGTATGCTGCCGACGGCCTCACGAAGGCAGGGGATTGGGGCTTCTGGCTGGTTCTTGGTATAGGGTTTAGGGTTTGGGGTTTCGGGTCTGGGAATGAGGGCATGAGGTACCCTACATAATCCCGTGAAGGGTATATATAGCTAAGAACCAGGGGGGCCTTGGGGTTGGGGATTTTGGGTTCAGTTCTGAGTTCTGACTAATGCAAGAATTGTTCAACACCGGGTTTCAATCATTGGGGGGTCTCTCTGAAAGTAATTTAGGGGTCGGAAGAATTACTAATAGTGTTCCCTTAGGGCCCCTTTATAATTGTACTATAAGAACCCCCAAAAAAACTTTATGCTACATATTTAAGGCCCCTGAATTATATCTTTACATGGACCATCCTCGTCCTAAGTCCTACTGCAGTTTAGGGTCCCAGGTGTCGGGTTTCAGGGAGCAGAAGGCCTGCATGATCCCAATATACCCCCAATCTATCTACATGGAGATATATATATATATATATATATATAGATATATATAGATATGTACATATATATATATATACATACCACCTTATATAGTCCCTAAAAGCGTAAGTAGCCCTTTAGTCCCTTGAGGGTTTATCGCGCTATCGGCGTCACATCCACGCCCCTCACCATCGGGCAAGGGCGAGTCTGGGGTGGAATTTCAGGCTTAGTAAAAAACAAAAACACCCAAAGGTTACCCCTCCCCACCCCCAAAACAAGCAACATTCCCAAACGCCAAAGCCTAAGCCCTAAAGCCTAAACCCCAAACCCTAAACCCTAAACCCGAAGCCCGAAGCCCGAGGCCCTAAGCCCTAAGCCCTAAGCCCTAAGCCCTAAGCCCTAAGCCCTAAACCCTAAACCCTAAACCCTAAACCCTAAACCCTTCCCTAAACCCTAAACCCTTCCCTAAGACCAACATCCTGAAGCCCCAGGCCCAGTCCGAGGTACAGTCGGCCGAGGCCCGCTGAGGGGGGCTTTCTCTTCCTTCGGGCTTGCTATAGGGGTCGGAATAATTACGAATAATATTGGGTTTTGGGTTTAGGGTTTAGGGTTTAGGGTATTACCTTATGGTCCCTTTGTAACTATACTCCAAACCCCCCCCCCCCCCCCCCCCCCCCCTCCCCCCTCCCAAAAAAAAAAACAAAAAAACTATTCTACTAATTCACCCCTATATTATGGGGTTCAAGGGGTGGAAGGGTTTAGGCTGGGATGCTCCCCCTTATACTAACAGTCCTTAGTCTGGATTATCATTCGGGGCACTATGATCTCTATGAAGGACTCTTTGTGTAAGAGGGAACCCTTTTCAGGACTGTTAGTATTTGGGGGAACATTCCAAGGTTTAGGGTTAAGGGTTGCAGGGTTCATAGGACTTTTTTGCGTCCAGGAGGGGGGGGGTGGGGTTTACAGGTAGTCGTTGCTTGTTTTCTTTGTCACGGGTTGTTGGCTCAAGGTCTCAGGTCCAGGATTGGGATGTTCCCCCATTTTGTAACAGTGAAAACATCCCAGGTCTAGGGCTTTAAGGGTGTCCGGACTTTAGGGCTTTCAGCGTTTGGGGTCAGGGTGTTACGGCTTGGCTTGTTTTCAGTGGTTTTGGGAGCCCTCTGGCAGAGCACTAAGGCCCAAGATTAAGTAGGGTTTGCGTTTATGAGGGTTTAGGGGAACCGAGTGGGAACGTTGTCTGATGAGCTAATGGCTTAGGAGTGGGATGTCTCTTTCAGAGTTGTAAGAAGGCCCGCGTGGGGGGTAAGGAGGCCCGTGGTATCAACCCCCATCATCCCAAACCAGGAAACCACAAACCAACAGCGAACTCAAAGTCTGAGGGTAATACATGGTCCCTTAGTATTCCTGAAAAGGGCTCTGCAGTATGGGCCCTTGCGGTTCTAGAGTGTATATAAGTATATAAGGGGTATGCCCTTTCAAGGGCCCATATACAGAGACCGCGTGGCTACCCTTACTTGATTGTTCGTGGGTTACTTTCCAGTAAGGTTCTAGCCATATAGTTACCCTACTTATTCCCCTACTTGTAAGTACCCATGAAGTTCCAAGTAAATATTAAACAAAGACGGAACCCGAGACAAAAGACCCCGCAGCTTGCAGGCAGCACTGCGCGCGGCGTACTCCAAATGCCGTCTGTTTGCGGCCCTTTGGGCCTTTGAAACGTTGGTGCCTGTTTTCGGTTCTTAGTGTCGGGTTTGAAGGATGAGGGTCGGTTCAGAATTCAGGACAGGCCCCAATTGCTTTTGCGGATGTGTAACTTGCTCCTCCTGTTTGGCGGGCCTGTAGGGCGAGCGTATTGTTAGGGTGTACGGCTTAGGGTTTAGGCCTCGGGTTTATGGAACCCTAAACCCCCAAACCCCAAACCCTAAACCCACACCCAAGCCCCAAACCCTAAACCCCAAACCCTGAACCCTAAACCCCAAACCCTAAACCCGAAACCCTGAACCCCAAACCCTCACTGGGCCACTCCAAGGAGTCCATATGCTTCTATGGCGGGGAGGAGAGCGAAAGGAAGCGCATCGACGGCCTCTACGCCTCTGAGCTCAAAATGCAGACCCTGGTTATTTAGGATTTAGGGTTTAGGGTTTAGGGTTTAGGGTTTGGGGTTTAGGTTTAGGTTTGCGGTTTAGGGTTCTCTATATCATGGTCCCTCTGTGGGTTCCCTAAACACGAGGGCCCCCCATTCTAGTCAGGAACGGCAAAGGGGCCATGTGTTTGGAGAAATCTAGACATCGTCGTACGTGCATGCATGCATATATATATATATACATTGCAGAAAAGTTATGTATCCACATATTTGTGTATACATATACATATACTGCTTACTTGTTTATATGTATTCATATATACATATATATATATATACATAAATAAGTATATATATATATATGTACATATATATATATAATATGTTAAATATATATATATATATATATATACATATATATATATATACATATATATATATATACATATATATATATACATATATATATATATATATATTATTTTCGATTTACACATACATATACATTTGTATATGTATGTACTCATGTTTCATTGTATGTATATTCCTTGTTCTCATATATACACTTTGCACATGTGCACATGCATACGCATCAGCGCACGGCCCTAAGCGGATCCCGCGCAGTCGTTGAGTCGTTGAGGGGTTACCCCCCCCCCCCCCCCCCCCCCCCCCCCCCCCAAATCCTAAACGAGCCCGAATCCTGGGGTCTGCAACCCAACGAAGCTCCACACCTCGCGTCGAGCCCAAGTAACCATGCCCATGGCGTCATAATCCTTACGAATGTATGTGGGCAACTGGCCAAAATGTCCAGGGCAATGAGCTAGGCCCCCTGTGTTAGTGACGTCAGCAGGTTGAGCGCTGACTCCCGGTTTTGCTACCAAGGTTAATGGTGCATCCTAACTGTTTCGGGGTAGATCTCACACACCCTTTACAATCCTCATGCTCCCTACTTACACATCAAGTCCCACTTCACTATGGACTCTTTCTCTCTTGCCGCGTGCTTCGGGCTTGGGGTATTGCTGTGTGCTTGGATTGGGGCTTGAGCTGTTGAAGACGCATGGCTCAGGGCTTATACTTAGCGATACTTGGGAATAATGCTGAATTTGGGGTACTAGAATTGCTAAGAAACAGCTACAATTATAATTTTGCTAGGGTTCCAGGTTCAGTATGGTATAGAGTCATTCCCTTCCTCACAGCTCTGCATCCCGTGCGCAAGTGGCCAAGACCCGAATTGAACCATTGACATGATTCCGCATGATGCCAGGGATTGATGTAGATCATGGGCCCTTCTTTCCCTAAACTACAAGGAACACAATCCCACCAAGGGCCCATAATTTAGGTCCCCCACCCCACTGCCTATGTTGCTTTTGTTGCAGCGTCGTGCTGCTGACCTGCCTGCCATCAACTCTCGCATGGCGGCACGCCACAACCAGAGAATCACTTCGTCCTTGGGTTCCCCCGGCCCTGTGAACACAAACCCTGAATCCTAATCTCCAAACCCTAAACCCTAAACCCTAATAGAAGGCTCTCACAATGAGCCCGAGGCTTCTTTACATCAATTGCTTCCGGCCCAGGAGTCTGTCCGAAATGGCTTCCACCGCTTTGCAAAGCAACTGGCCAGTGACATTTACGCCAACCATAGGTCGGCAGGATTCCTGTAACCTACAAATCCTAAACCCTACAAACCCTTGGGTTTAGGGTTTAGGGTTTAGGGTTTAGGGTTTAGGGTTTAGGGTTTAGGGTTTAGGGTTTAGGGCTAGCCCTTTAAACCCTTGAAACCCTCTAAGCCCTGAACCCCAGAATGCAGGAAGCCATGCCTCATCCTCAAGGAACTCGGATTCCCAACAACCAGGAACCCAGCCAGCCTCTAAGTTCAACCCCCAAGCCCCCTTTGTGAGATTAGGGTTTAGGGTTTAGGGTTTAGGGTTTAGGGTTTAGGGTTTAGGGTTTAGTTTTGTATGCTCGTCCTTGCGCGGACCTTCAGAGGTGGGAGGTGGGCGATTCGGGCCGGGGGCGTAGCCTTGCCAGGTTTGCCGGTACAGCCAATGCCCCAGATGGTGGTTTAGAGTTGTGGGTTTTGGGTCCTTCTGGTATACTCCTTCCACTTTAGGGTACCATAACTTATAGTTATAGAACACCCCAAAATCCTGCTTCGGCTCCGACTGGATGAATGCCGGCCGAATCCTCAGAGGTGGAGGCGTGGGCGGCAAAAGCGCTCTTGCACAAGCTGCGACCCTACACGACCATCATTCCAAAAAGGGACTCCCACCAGTGTGCAAAGTGCGCTGCTGTGGTAACATGCTCCGCGTGCTCCGTCTTTCTCACGGTGTTGGAAGTGGTCTCCTCCCTTGAGACTGCGGCGAAAGTCGCGGGGGCCGTATTTCTGGCCCTGGTGGTGCCGGTCTATTGCTTCATGGTCGAAGGGCGAGCCACCCAGCATGTCCAGCTGAACACGGGCTGCACCTGAGTCGCAGTTGAGGCAGTTGAGGCAGTTAAGGCGCTTAAGCAAGCAAAAAAGTAACCATATTCTTCCGTGGGCATGTGCTTGTCCTCATAATGTGAGCTCTTCAGCAGCAGCCCAGGCATTGAGGAGTCTTTGGATCCAAACCAGCACCCGGACAAGACAAAGTATGTTCTCATCGAGGAGCGGAGCTCGGGCTTCGCAGTGATCTACTGCTTCTGAGATCCAAGAGTGGGCCCTTATGGCATTTTGTGGTTGGGGGGGGGGGAGAGGGGTAGGGCTTATACGGTTTCGGGTTTAGGGTTTAGGTTTCCTTGTGAAAGCACATGTGCCAAGAAGGGTACCAATTTTTTTTGTTCTTGTAGGTCCTAGGTTTACTCTAGGCTGAAGGGTTTTCGGGTGGAGGCTTCGAATCCTGGAATGCCTTGGACGCCGCTCGCAGCAATCTTGGCCGCTCTTGGATCGCATGGGAGTTGAAGACCGACGAGTTTCTTGAAGCTGAGCACGGGGGCTACGCCCGCCCCTACAACACCATCCGCAAGGCCTTCCAGCTCTTTGTAGGCCACGCGCGCCGCATTCAGCAGGACCAGGGCGCCTAGTGACCGAATGCTGCGGCCAAAAAGCAGGGCTTTGCCCCACAACGATGCGGCAGGCTTAGGGCTTAGGGTTTAAGGGGACTCACTTGCTAGGTTTGACGCCTCCTACCTCAAACTAGCTCTATTCTGGTTTTTTCTGGGGACCACATGAATCACAAAACGGTTGATGGTTCATATAATACCTTGACAGGAATAAGCGTTGCATAGGGTATATTAGGGTTCATTTGGTCCCCATGGTTGTGTTCTTGAACCTTCTTGTAGCAGCTCAGGTGCATGGTATGAATCGGGGGGGGGGGGGGGGGGTTTAGGGTTTCCGGTTGCTTGCAGATCACTTGCCGCACCCCTGAAATCTTGACAGCCCATCGGTACCCTTTACCCTTTTTTTTTGGTTCTGGGTTCCCCTATACAGTAACCAACAAAAACAGGGTACCCTTATGAGAAGATGGTTACTGGGCTACTCAGAAATCCCAGAGCCTGCAAGTCTACAGGCCCAAAGCCATGAAGACATCTGGTCTTAGAGCCCGAAGCCTTAAAGGGGGATCACAGGCACCCGATATTTTTGCGGGTTTAGAGGTCAGGCTGCTCTGGGATCCACAGGAAGGACCTAATTGGACAGCCTGTTGCCAAGACGCTGCGTTGAGGGTTTAGGGTTTAGGGTTTCGGGTTTTCCCTCTGAACCCTGCAAGCCCCCTTATTCCTCTTTTGCACTCCTCGCACGAGTTAGAGAACCCAACCCTCAAAGCAAGCCCATGAAGCCAAGTCATGTTCCAAAGCCACTCTGGATCCCAGAATCTAGGGGCTGGCCCGTCTAGACTGAGGTATACGGGGTACCCCATACACGCCTTCTAGACACTGCTGGTCTGTCGGGGTTCTGAGGCGTGGGGTTCAGGGTCTATAGAGTTTACGTAGGGGCAAACCCGAAATCCTGAACCCTGTCACTCCCCACGGCTGAGGTACAAGCTCTTGGTCGACCTGAGCCCTAAACCCGAAACCCGAAAACCCGAAACCCTAAACTAACCCAAGGTACAAGCTCTTGGTCGACCTGAGCCAACTAGCCTTCTACTTCGGCCTGGCGCCCATCTCCATGACCATGGCGGCCTTCATCGTGCGGAAAGGCCGCCGGGGAAAGGGGGGATTTTCCGGCCTTTGCAGAGTTTGGTGTGTTGGGTTGAGGGTTTCTAGGGTTTCTAGGGTTTCTAGGGTTTCTAGGGTTTCTAGGGTTTCTAGGGTTTCTAGGGTTTCTAGGGTTTCTAGGGTTTCTAGGGTTTCTAGGGTTTCTAGGGTTTCTAGGGTTTCTAGGGTTTGGGGTTTCTAGGGTTTAGGGTTCAGGGTTTAGGGTTTATGTCGGGGTTTAGGAAAAAGAAAGCGGGCACTGGAGGAAACAGGAGGAACCTCTCAACCCCCACGGCTCACGCGGGCGAGGCGAATTTGCGGCACAACCACCGACGTGATCGCGTTTCTTCGTTTTAACGCGCGTTGTCGCCCTAAACCCTGAACCCTAAACCCTATAACCCTAAACCCTCTACCCTTCAAACCCTAAACCCCAAGCCCTAAACTTAAACCCTAAGCCCTAAACCCGAAACCCTAAATCACTTGGACGAAAGAAAAAGCACTGCCGCCCGCGCGAGGCAGCTGGACGCAGGACTCGGAGACGACGTTCTACGCTCCATGGCTGTGATGGGGCTGGCACTACAAGGAAGGGGGCCCCCTTACTATGTCAGTATAGTGCTAAGGGACTATAGCCTAAGATAGGATCTATATATATATATATATATATATTGGTATATATATATATATGTATATGAGCTAATTTCTACTTATAACTAGGGGGGGGGGTCCATTCTTTGCGTGGGCCTCTGCTGACAGTGAGCTCTGCAACAGGACTATCCCTCGGCCCCCATCCAGCTACTTAGCTATCAGGTTCCAGCATGATCACCGGTACTGCTTTGAATATGCTGATGGTCTGGAACCTTCCAGAAAAGGCCCCTTAGGGTTTAGGGTTTAGGGTTTAGGGTTTCGGGTGTAGGGTTTAGGGTTTAGGGTTTAGGGTTTGGGCCTAAGGGGTCCAGGGTACAGAAACCCGTGAGATGATGCCCTGAAATGCCCTGTGCAGGCTAAATGCACTGAGGGTTGTTACAAGGGTCAAGCTTCCGAACGAAATAGGGGTCGGAATCGTTACTAATAGTGTTCCCTTATGGTCCCTTTTATAAATATACTATGAGATCCCCCAAAATAAACTCTGTTCTAATATTTCAGGCTCCTATATTACTTCCTCCTGCCGAGGTGCTCAACCTCACCTTTCTGCGCATCATCCGCTGCTGTCTGGAAATGGCAAAGAGCATCGTCGATCTAGCAAAGGCCATTGCACCGGATGAGTTCAAACACTTAACAACGATTCAGAAGGCTGAGTGGATAACCTAAAATCGCTCCACATCTGACCCACATGTGCCGTCGAGATTCTGGCAGTTTCGCGCGTGACGCTGACACTCTTTCTGCGTGACGCTGCGATACCTGTGCAAACCCCTGAGCCCATCTACTGCGGCCCTCATCCTCATCCGTGCGAGTCTCCGAATCAGCGCACCTCCCAATGATCTGTTAACCAACCTGCGTGCCAAACCCTGAATACGAATCCCAAGACTTGCGTGCGTTCGTTTTGCAAGATCGTGGCAACCCCGACACCCATCTTGGGCCTGTCAACCCTGTAGCTGAAGCAGTAGCAGTAGCAGCCAGTCGACGTCACACCCGCCAGCCCTATCCAAGGGAAGTCGCTGTGGGGCTCCGCTGATGCCTGTGACCACCTTTTGAGCCACACGCTTCAGGGCTTGAGCGTATGACGGCGGAGCTATGAGCTAATGCGTCCGCTGGGGGTGGCCCCATGTGGTTGACCCCACATGCCCATGGCAACTCGGCCGCGGGCATGGTCTATTTATACAGCAAAATTGTGTTACTACTGCTTTGGATTCGAAACCTGGAGAAAAACTCTTGTGATTCATCAGGCGTGGCACTCACGGAAAGTAGGGAAGGCCGACAGCTTCGTGAAGTGCATGAACCCTAAAACTGTCCATCCCGAAACGCTAAACCCCGGGACCCTAAACGCTAAACCCTAAACCCTAAAACCTAAACCCTAAACCCTAAACCCTAACCCTAAACCCTAAACCTGTCCAGGCGCAAGCCATGCTCCAGCGGGTCGTGCAACTTCTGGAGGCGGGAAGTGGGTTTCAGGGATTGAGGTTTTGCGGGTTTAGGGTTTAGGGTTTAGGGTTTAGGGTTTAGGGTTTAGGGTCTCTGGGCACGATGCATGGGTTCCGGCACGGCCCAAAAAGGACAGGGTTTAAGCCCTACCTTCAGAACCCCAAACCTACTTTTGTTGTAGGTTATTGCTATAAACACCCCTTATCGGGTTCTTAGGTAACCTAAGACCTATAAGGGGCTTTATAGTAACCACCTACAAAAAAATAGGCTTGGGGTTTTTAAAAGTAGGCCCTAAACCCATGGGTCGGTTCCCGGCAGGTCATGGATGCCTTCATCGTCTTCGAGATGCACCGGAAGGATTCAGGGCTTATGGAACTTTGGGGGTTTGGGACTCACAGGGTTTGGGCATGCTGGGGTTTGGGGCTTACGGGGTTTGGGGTTTGGCGTTGCGCGGGGTGTTCTCAGATCCTCCCGCGGTTGAGGGTTTAGGGTTTAGGGTTTAGGGTTTAGGGTTTAGGGTTAAGGGTTGCAAGCAGGAGCAGGGCGCTCTGAGTCGTGCAGATGGCTTCCTCATAGACGAGGAGGAGGCTGGCAGTGGCAACACCTTAAACCAGCAGACAATGCTCATATCTGTGAGCTTTCGTTCCCGATTCTGGACAGCTAAATAGCCCGCAACAAGGTCCAGCTCCGCGGTTTTCTTGTTTGGTGAGCCGTTGCTGCGGGCGCCCAACTAGGCTTAGGTACTTAGAGGTTCATGGCTTACGAGCAGGGTTCTGAGAGACCCTAAATAGAAGGTTCAAATATCATAGCCGTTTTGCTACTTATCAGCCTGCCTACTTACAAGGACCTTGAACCTGCAAGTATCATCCTACGCCGTGGACCTGGACCCTCGACCTTGGCCAGCCCCGGGGTTCAGGAGGGGGAGAGGAATAAATGGCTCTAAACTTGTTTGCATCTTTTTGTGGAGGGTTTAGGGTTGAGGGTTTATAGGGTTTAGGGTTTAGGGTTTAGGGTGTCCTTAAAGAACACTGAGGAGCGCGCGGGGCTTTAGATTTGAAGCTTGAAAGGAGGGGTCAACGGGTTCTTGGTCTAAAAGAAGCTCCCTTAAGGGGTTCGAGCTTGAAGCATGAGATTTGGAGTTTAGCATTAATCCCAAACTAGGTTTTGTAGGTTAGTAGTAGCATACTCATCATGGGACACAAATATTTCCCTTTCAAAACAACGAGAATTCTATGGGGACCTGACCCCTCACTTTTTTGTACACGAAACCCTTTACCCATTGTCAAACCCAGACCACTAAACCCCTAAACCCTGAAGCCCCTAAACCCGATACACCCTAACCCCCCCCCCCGCCCTAAAAAAACACACACACACACACACACACACACCTACGCTTTGCGGACTCTCAGTAGGGTGCAAACTTGAAGGTGCTCTGCTGCCTGTCCTACTACAAAGTCATGCAGCTGCATTGCGGCGCTGTCGTGCCACTCAAGCATGCCCCCTGCGTGTCCTTTGAGCCTGGCCCTGAGTGGAAGAAGCCCAGTAGGGTTTAGGGTTTAGGGTTTAGGGTTTAGGGTTTAGGGAAGAAGCCCACCCAGTTTTGGGGGTTTAGGGTTTAGGGCTTAGGGTTTTGGAGGTTTGGGGTTTAGGGGCTCAGGGGGTTGGTTCTGCAGTAGTGTGTGGGCTCCTTGGAAGAGGGAGTTGAATGACAAGAATGGTAACCTACACGCCCAATTGCGAACCTAAACCCAAAACCCTAAACCCCAAAACCCGAAACCCTACACCCTAAACCCTAAACCCTTAACCCTGAGCCCTGAACCCTAAACGCTAAACCCTAAACCCTAAACCCTACCCTTCTTGCAAGGCACCTTAAAGAGAAAGGGACTGTAATCTACAGAACTGCCCCATGCACTCACAGGGACCCGGGGCCCCAGCGAAGCACGGAGCTGGTGGTCAGGGTTCAGGGTTCAGGGTTCAGGGTTTAGGGTTTAGGGTTTAGGGTTTAGGGTTTAGGGTTTAGGGTTTAGGGTTTAGGGTTTAGGGTTCAGGGTTCAGGGTTCAGGGTTTAGGGCTTTGGGTGTTCGGTTTTGGGGTTTTGAGGTCCTGGCGCAGCTCAGCCCCAAACCGCGCGAGCCTCAACAACCCCGTCCCAGGCATGTTGACATCTACACGCCCGACGGCATGAGGCCAGCTTCTCAACCTCTAGCCCGCAAACCTTTCTGGGTTTTTTGGAGTACTATACTTTAATGGTCTTGTTGGTTCTGGGTTCCTGGTATAGCTACTTGTAGAGTGTGTGTGTGTGTGTGTGTTTTTCCACTGTCCTCTCCAAAGTAGGGCTGTTGGGTTTAGGGTTCGCATTTAGGGGAGGGGGGACGGGGTGCAGATCCAGGGTGCAGGCTTTTGTGGAGTCGCAGAGTCGCGGTTTAGGTTTAGGGTTTAGGGTTTAGGGTTTAGGGTTTAGGGTTTAGGGTTTAGGGTTTAGGGTTTAGGGTTTAGGGTTTAGGGTTTTGGGAGTATTGCCATGACTACGACTGCCTTTTGGAGGTTGGGGTCTCTCTTGGCGCTTCAGGGGGATTGGGGGGAGTGCATGTCCCCTCCCCCCTCAAGCCCTGAAGCTCTGAAGCACCGCTGGCGGGTCGGATTGAGAGGGCTAAGGGTTTGTAAGTGTGCACGCCCTAACATCCCTGAGCCCGGCAACACGGTACAACCTTCACTCGAGACTTGCCTGGAAACACGAAGGCCCACAGGGGATCATGCAAGCTTGCACCGAGGGTTGAAGGTATGGTCAGTTCTCCAATTTCTGGTCCCTTTTGTGCGGGTACCCTAAATATTAGCGGCCGCCTTATCATAGGACCCCCAAAAGAAACCCTAAACCCTAAACCCTAAACCCTAAACCCCTTTGGGTTTCAGGCTTCCGGGCTTCCGGGCTCCTCGACTTTCGGGCTCCTGGAGGGGCCCCTCCGTATTTTTGGAGCAAAAAGGAAATGCCCATGGATGCATCTAGGTATGCCTGTAGTAAATATGAACATACGTATAAACAAAATGCACAACATATTTGGGGGGGGGGGGGGGGGGGGGGGGGTCATGGGTATTCATAAGTAGGGTTATATTAAGTTAAGTGCCCGAAGTAAGGCCATAGTCATACTGTAGCTACCCTACTCAGAGCCTTACTTCTACGCACCCATGAACCCCCAAGTGGGCCTAATCCCTAAACCCTAAACCCTAAACCCTAAACCCTAAACCCCCAATGAGCCCGGAACCGAGCCACCTCAAGAACTCTGCGCCGCACGTGGAGGTGTCTCATGAAGGACATAAGCTTGCGGATGGATCCTGGGGAGCGCCGCGGCCATGTTGAGTGCATTGTGTTTGGGGTTCAGGGTTTAGGGTTTAGGGTTTAGGGTTTCGGGTTAGGCCTTACTGGCACCCCTCAAAACCGTAAGGGGGAGTGGGGGGAGTGAGTGGACATCGGCGCTGTCGGCCGATGTTTGTCTGCTGACCCTATACTCGGTGCCATGGGGCACCGAACTTGCGCGCCCTGAAGCCCTTGTACAGGGCCTTCTAAGGAGATTATTCGGGTAAAAATCCCCATAATGAACCCTTCTAAAGGGCCTTGTAAGGGAGTAAATAAGTATCGACAAGCCTGCGAAACGACACCCGAATCCACAGGATCGCTGGACTTTGGGGCTAAGGGCTTTTTGATTTGGGTTGATCTAAGGGCAGTTTCATGTTAACAGGGTATCTAAGGGGTGTATAAGGGGTCCCCTTGTAAAGGCCCATGTGAAGGCACCATGTAACTACCCTTAGAGTTGATGGTTTGGGGGTTTGGAGCTTTCGATTGTGTTTCTTTGTCAGCTTGATGAAAGCCCATGCAGAAGGGAGTCACTACTCAACCCGGCCGACCGTGAATTGTGACATCCACGGACTTTTAAGCAAAATGCACTCACACTTGGGTTTAGGGTTTAGGGTTCAGGGTTTAGGGTGTCCACATGCCTGGCTACGTAGTGCATGCAGGGTAGCGGAAGAGCGGATCGCGCGAGCTGCCCTTGAAAAGTGCCCGCTCCCATAAATTAAACCCTAAATCCTAAACCCTAAACCCTAGCTTGGCAGCACAGTGGTACCCTTTTCCTTTGTTTGGTTCATGCTTCGCCTATAAAGTAAGCAGCCCCACACAGAGTGCCCTTATTGTAATATGGGTACCGGGCTGCCTAAACCCTAAACCCTAAACCCTAAACCCTAAACCCTAAACCCTAAACTCTAGCACACGAGACAACACCAAGGAGTTGCCTCATCATGGGCCCCAGCGGCATTGGCAAGTCCTCCTTGCTCAGGCACCTTTGAGGGTTTAGGGTTTAGGGTTTAGGGTTTAGGGTTTAGGGTTTAGGGTTTAGGGTTTAGGGTTTAGGGTTTAGGGTTTGTGTTTTTTGTTTAGGGTTTACTGTCTTAAAGCCTTTTTGGCTCTGGGGAGGGTGGTGGGGGGGAGTTGTGTATTTGCCAACATAGGCCCAAAAGGGTGAACTCCCCCATGAAGCGCAGGGCTTCGGCTCCGTTTGATGTTCAAACTGGTTCTACCCCCTCTAAGCCCCAAAACCCCTGAACCCCGAGTGGGGAGGGCTACACGGAACCCGAATTGAGCAGCGAGCCGCCCTTCGGGTTGGGGGGGGGGGCGGGGCGGGGGTTAGGCTTGGGGTTTAGGGTGTTTTCGGGCGTTTTAGATAGGGTTGTCGGATTTTTCTGGGGTTTCGGGTTTTTTTTTCGGGTTTTTGGGGTTCATAGGATTCATAGGCCTTATATATAGGGTTTAAGGAGTGCGGAAAGTTTCCCGCAGCTGCTTAACGTGATCATGCGCCCGCGAGAAGATACTTGAAGGTTCACGGGTCCTTAAGTAGGCCAACTGTTCTTATAACCTTTTATTGGTTTCAATCTTATTTAGGGTATTTGTAGCCCGACTTATAAGCACCCATCAACCGCTAAGTGGCTATTGGTGTTTATGAGGCTTGCAGGGGTCAGCATCAGACAGGATGGCAGATTAAGGATTTCGGGTTTCTCAGTTCGTGTAGCCCCTCAAGCGATGCGGCAGTAAGGGGGCGTGAGTGTGGAGGAGTCTAGGACATCCCCATGAGCCCAGCATTCCCACTGCTCGTGCGTGCTTGCAGGTGTGCAACTTTCACACCAGCGTCGCTTAAGCCCTAAACCCTTTAAAACCCCATGACCCTAAACCCTTGAACACTACGTTCCCTAAACCCTACACCCTAAACCCTAAAGCACTTGCCCTTCAGATCTCCAATTCACGCATCCTGCCGCAGGGTGTTGGGACAGCTCTGGCCGCTGTTCCGCAGCCCCGGAGACAAAGGCTCCTTGGCTCCTGAGGGCAGCGGGTGCGGTTTAGGGTTTGTTTAGGGTTTAGGGGTTTAAGGTTTAGGGTTTAGGGTTTAGGGTTTAGGGTTTAGGGTTTAGGGTTTAGGGTTTAGGGTTTAGGGTGTTTCGGGGCAAGTTAGCACCTACACACCTTCATCATCGTATACCGTTCGGGGCTGTCGGGTATGGCGAGGGGAGAGCAGTAGAGTCATGTTCTCCCGTCAGCCCCAATGAATTTCGGGTCCGTATTGGGGTGGTGCTTGACCTGAGTTCTTGGCTCTATGGAAGCCATATCCCCTAAACCCTGCCCTAGAAACCCTAAACCCCAAGCCCCAAGCCCTAAGCCCTAAGCCCTAAACCCTAAACCCTAAACCCTAACTTGCACGGATGCCCAGGCGAGGATGCCTCCTTCACCCGTCCCGGTCCGTTCTCTGCTCCTTGGCCCGCAGCATGGTTTAGGGTTTAGGGTTTAGGGTTTAGGGTTTAGGGTTTAGGGTTTAGGGTTTAGGGTTTAGGGTTTAGGGTTTAGGGTAGTGTGTAGGGTGTACGGTTTAGGGTTAGGGGTCCATGGCTCAAGGGTTTTGGTTGAGATGTTCCCCCTTATACTAACAGTCCTTAATGGGATTATAATCGGGGGTACTGTAATCACTATTAAGAACTTTTAGTAGGGGGAACATCCCAAAGTTGGAGGGTTGGTTTTACCATTTGCTGAAGAACCGCCACATAGTAAAGGAAAATTTCCCCTATATACGCTTACAAGGAAGAAGAACCCTCCAAAGAATAAAATGTAACAACAATACTACCCTTTTAAGGAAGATTTGTTCATTTTTTGGGTGATTCTTAAGCAAATTGTAGGTTCGGAGTGTGGGATGCAGGGATTGGAGGCTCGGGGGTTCAGGGTTTTGGATTTAGAGTTTACGTGCCTTGAGGATGCCCTCCTACAATTGTCCTAAGCGCTAAACCGCGTGGTATCCCTTTCATTCCAAGACAACCAGAAACCTTTAAACACGAAACAACCCTAAACCAGGAGTCTGATAATCTATGGGTTGAGGGTTCGGGGTTTAGGGTTTAGGGTTTAGAGTTTAGGGTTTAGGGTTTAGGGTTTAGGGTTTAGGGTTTAGGGCTCAAGGGTTTAGATGTGGCTGGCTTCGCGATGTAACATGCAAGTGCCGTTTGACTTTGAAGCGGTTACGAGTTCTCGAGCTGGGATGGCAGGTGAACAAAGTGTATAGCAAGTCTTCGGGTACGGGGCTCATCGCCCTAAACCCCATTTAGGGCCTAGAAGGCTCTAAGCCCTGAACCCCATAAAGCCCCACCTGACCCGAAGCCCTAAACCCTAAACCCTAAACCCAAAACCCTAAACCCTAAACCGGGGAGGTGTTCTTCCTGGCCCAGCGGCCCTACCTGTTCCAGGGCACCCTCCGTGAGCAGGTGCGGAAAATTACAGCCTCCCTAAAACCCGTTTGGGGTTTGGGGTTTAGGGTTTAGGGTTTAGGAAACCCTTCGAATCCCTAAATCCGAACACCCTAGAGCCCTAAACCCTAAAAAGCCGCAGCGTTTTGCTTTGGTTTTGAACCCGAAGCCCTTGGGCCCTAGACCCTAAACCCTAGACCCTCAACTCTACCTGGACCCTAAGCCCCAGGCGGTGGACCCAGGGGACTTCTAAACCCCCAACCCTAAATGCCTGGAAAGCCCCTTGAATCCCCTAAAAGCCCTGAATGCAAGAAAATCCCTCAATCCAAGCACCCTAAGGCCCCAAGCCCAAAAAGCCCTGGAACCCTGAAGCCCAGAAACCCGCTAAATCCTTAAGCCTTTAAAATCCCTAAAGGTCTAGAACCTTAAACAACCCTGAAAGCCCTGAAGCCCAAAGCAACCCTAAACCCTAAACCCTAAACCCTAAACCCTAAACCCTAAACCCTAAACCCTAAACCCTAAACCTCGAAACCCGAAGGCCCCAAAAGCCCTGAAACCCCCTCGGGCCTTGTGAAGGGAACTGCAAGGATCTTTGCGGATCGGGGTAGGAATGCCGGGGTTTGAGGCACTCTCCCACGGTTTAGGGTTTGGGGTTTGCGGTTTAGGGTTTAGGGTTTAGGGTTTAGGGTTTAGGGTTTAGGGTTTAGGGTTTAGGGTTCAGGGTTCAGGGTTCAGGGTTTAGAGGTGGTTTTGGGGCTTTTGGGATTCTGGGGTTTCAGCTAGCCAGTTAAAGGCCCCGTGGCGCTAAGCCATAGTCCTTAGCCTTGGCCCCCAGCATTCCTCAACTTGCGAACCTCCGTATAAAGCCTGACCCTAACTTGCCTAACACCTGTGAACCCTAAGCCCTAACCCGCCCTAAATCCAAAAGTGCCCTAAACTCGTAATCCCGTAAACCCTGCATAAACCTTCAGGTGGCGTATCCGATTTGGGACACGTCACTCCTCACTGACCTGACCGACGAGAAGATGGAGAAGCCCCTTCTACCGCAGGGTCAGGATTAGGATTTGGGGCCTAGAGTTTAAAGTTTACGTTTTTGTTTCGGGTTTAGTTAGGGCACTACAACCCAACGAAGCCTCACGCGATACCCACACCGAAATGAATCGGGTCCAAGCCCTGAACCCTCAGTGAGGTGGCTAAACCCTGAATGAGTCAGCCCTGTCCCCCAATCAGCTTCATCTTTCAAACCTGTGGGTCCAAGCAAAGTAGGGTTTAGGGTTTAGGGTTTAGGGTTAAGGGTGTAGTTGAGGGTGATTGAGCCCCCCCCCCCCCCCCGCCCCGTAAGGCAATCATTTCCTGTCCAGCCAAGTCAGAAGGTCGCGAATCCGAGGGGTTTAGGGAGGGAGTTCGGATCTGAGGGGCTTTGGGCTCACCCTAAACCCCAACCCTTCACCCTAAACCCTAAATCCACCCGCCACCCCTCTCACCTCTGTGGGTTGGTGGGCGCAGTCGAGTCTCAGCAAGACAATTTCAGGCTTGCAGAGCCTGCAGCCGCACCCCTGAGGGGTCGCCAAGCTTAGTCACCAACCAAGCCAGTCACAGTAGTGTCGTCAAATAGAAACTACTTTATTATCCCAAACCCCACAGGGGGGGACTCCTTCGCCTCTCAAACTGGCCCCACTAGGCAGGGGTGCCTTGAACCCTCCCAGGAAGCAGGGCCTTAAACCGGCACGTATGTTGAAGGGGGGAGCCCATCTGTCCCCACTGCTTCAGGCATTTGAAGTGTCCAAGTGTCCCAAGTGGCTCAAGTGTCCCTAAAAGTAGCCTGTTTCGGATGTGAATTTGTTTGGGCTGGCTCCGGTTCGGGTTCGCTACGAGTTGTGAGTTGTGACACTACTTCGTTTAGCTGACCGATGCTACACCCTAAACCCTAAACCCTAAACCCTAAACCCTAAACCCTAAACCCTAAACGGTGCGGCCCCAGGCTCTTCATGGAGAGCGGCCTGGAAGATGTTTGGGAAGCCAGGAGGTCAGCCTGTATAGGGTTTAGGGTTTTGAGTTTTGGGTTTAGGGTTTAGGGTCTAGCGTTTAATTAGGGTTTAGGGCTCTATGGTCCCTAAATCCGCTTAAGCCCTAGTCAAGCCTTCTAGGGTGGAAGGTTTTGTCGATTGGAAGCCCCCGTGGGAGCCCCTCATCTCCTTGTGGGGGATCCCTCGACAAGCCCTTTTTAAACCCCTTTTAGGGTTCAGGGTTTAGGGTTTAGGTCTTATAAGGGTTGACTGTTAGGGCTTAGGGCTTACTGGCTTAAAGCCTAAACTGTCCATCCTTTACATTGCCAGGTTGCTCGGGCGCGTTTTCCGGGTTGGGCAAATGTGGGCAAAGCTTCGGGGAGGTTTTTTTCTTTGGGGGTTGCCTAAACCTTAAACTGTACAAGGGCTTAAGGTTTACAGATGAGAGCTCAAGGTTTACGGGACCCCGGCGGCAACTCTCTTACGGCCGCCAGGGATGAGCTCGACGTTCCCGGAATTTGGTGGGACGACGTGCTGTCGCTTGGGGAGCAGCAGCGGCTGCAGTTCTGCAGGCTCGGGGGAGTCTTGGGAGCTGCAACTATAGCCCTTTTAGGAATGTTTGTCTTGATGTAACACCCAAGGGAAATTGAAATGGATTCTTTGGTCAGGTTCACGGGGGAGTATAGGCAGAAGTTTTCAGGGCTTAGGGCTTAGGGTTTACCCGAGGAACGGGCTTCGCGGCGTTTGGAGTTTCGAGGATTCTGTTGCACTGGCTTTGGAGAAGCCGCCCCCCCTTTTTGCCAGGAAACTCCGTTCGTAGGTAAACAGAGTCCCCTATGAATCCTCAACCCTACTAGAGAGACGACGCCCTGCGAAGAGGCTCTTCTGGCATGCCGAGTGGCACCCTGGCTAGACAATTCCGCGGCATATGGGCCTTTCCCGAAATAACTACTATTTTCTTAAGAGCCCCCTCGAAAAGATCTTCTTTCTAGGGTAATGTACGGGTTATGATTCATTGTTTTTTGTGTGGGTTTAGTAGATACCTAGGGTTGAGGGCGCATTCGGACACCCACCGTATCATGGGGTTGTAGTGTAGAGCCCGAAGCTTCCTAAGCCCTATAAACGTTTCGAGCCTTACTTTACCTTGAAGCAGTGCTCCAAGCAACGCGACAAACCTGACATTCGTGAAGCCCGAACCCTCAACCCTTAACTAAGCCCTGAACTATGGCCCCGAACCATAAGCCATAAACGCCTTCGAAACCTCCGAGCCCTACATGTAGAGGTGCGTTTCTTGCGCAGGCTGAGCCTCGTAAACCTGGAGTTGGTTCACTTTACCCGTGTTTTTGGTTCTGGGTATCTACCAACAAAAGGGTACCCTTACTATAACCTGGTTACTGGGCTACTAAGCAGGCAAATAGTCTTTGCTAGCCGGAAAGGCCGGAGCGACCCGAGGTTTACTTGGAGATTCATGGGTACTTTTCAGTAGGGCGGTAAGTACCCTGAGTGAGCTTCTCACCACAGTTGCCCTACTTCTAACCCTACTTATAACAAGTCCCCTATGCATCTCCAAGTAGGGCTTTCGAACTAGGGTTCTGAAACAGCCCTAAACCCTAAACCCTAAACCCTAAACCCTAAACCCCAAGGTACCAGGAGTACAAGAGCGAGGCTCCGGGCTTCTTCGCGCCTTTGCCGGCAGAGAGGTTGAGAAGTTATGAGGTTGCCCCTTTTCGCACGTTGAGGGTTTAGGGTTTGGGGTGATGGGTTGAGCTACGTTGAGCTAGGACCCGGAGTAGCCCGGCTAGGACCCAGAGTAGCCCGCTATTCCCTTTATGTGTAGGGTTCAGGTTCTCTTAGAAGCCCCTGTTAAGCCCAAAAGGGCGCCCTTGTTGTTCCGAGGTTACTGTCGTGGGTCTAGACTATTATGGAGTTCAACACCCAGAAGCCATACTAAATCGGCTTTTGGGGGATCTAAGCCCAGTCCTGCAACTAGACCCTCTGGGTTCTCCCCTAAGGCCTGCAAGTTATAGGTTTGGGAGGTTAGAACTAAATCAGTGTTAGGGATCCTTTTTACTTTTTGGGTTATGGGCTTTCTTATATATAAACAAAAAGGGTCCTTTTTTTCTTCCTAGGGGAACAGGGATTAAGAGAAGTTTGTGGTTTCCCTGCTGTGCTTCGGTTGGTTTCCGATGTAAGCCCAAACTAAACCATAGGCCCGGAGCCCATCCTCGGGGTTTCCGACATTAGGGGGTAGATATGGTTTTGGGTTTAGGGTTTAGGATAAGGGTTCAACTTATAGTTGTTCGGTCTTATGGGCTTCGGTCCTTATTATGAGGGAATCCTACTATTTGGGGGGGGTTTCTGTGGTCCATTCCGTTCGTAGACCTCCAAATTGAAGGAGGGAGGTATGCCATGGTCCAGGAGAGGGCTAGCACGAACAGCGCAAACTGCCTCAGGCCGTCCTCGACGAGTCATCGGCTTCCATGGACCCGCAGTGGGAAGTTCTCTTGAAGGGATTCGGGGTTTCTATGGGGTGGGTTAAAGGGTTGTAACCCAACTCAACCCTTCGCACCCTCGCCCATGCCAGGACACCACCTCCGAGATGAAGGCAGAGATGTGGATTTCCGTTTTAGGGTTTAGGGTTTAGGGTTTAGGGTGCAGGGCTCATGTAGGGCTTTGGGGGTTTACAGGGGTTGTAGGTTTCATAGGGTTTCGGGAGGTTGAGTTTGGTCTTGCTTGGTTTTGGTGGTCAGGGGTTCATGAGACTCACGCGGCTTAGGGGTTTTGGTGTTTTAAGGGAATAATCCCTAATGTTAAACCCTAAACCCCAAACCTAAGCTAGTTGGGTTTGAATGCCCCCCCCTGCTGCCAGGTCTACAAGGCCTGTCGCGAGAGGCGGCTCGGATATCTCAGCGTGGCCCACAGGCCCTCACCCACGCGTGGGCGCGGGAGCGGGGGGTTGTGGAGCATTTCGGCCTCGGGTTCAGGATGCCGACGGTTTAGGGTCTAGAGGGTCTACAGGGTCTAGAGAGTCTAGAGGGTCTGTGCAGTCCATATATGGTTTCGGATTCAAGAATTAGGAATTAGGGTTTATAGAGTTTAGGGATTTTCAGGCCAAACGTTTCTGAGTTCAGGGGGCTTCGGGGCTGTTGTTGCAGTCTGCTCGTTGGGCTTTTAAGGCAGGCTCGACTATCATAGCTCCCTGTAGATCACGGTCCCCAAAGTAATAAAGGGGACTAGTAGCATTCCCTTATGGTCCCTTAAGAACTGTACTACAATAACCGCCGAAACCCTTTCTAAATTATCGAGGCCCCTGTACTAGGCTCGGCATGTGGACCCGTTCCCCCCATGTATGGTTACCCCTTCGTCTGCTTCAATCATTTGTGTAAATAAATTTTGGTCCTTTTCGGGGTACCCTAAATACGAGGGGATACAATAAGGACCCCAAAAGAGTCACTGTAGGGCTCGAGGTTTGCAAGCCTGTGGTTCCATATGAGACTACAATTTTAGGATAGTGCCGGATTTCGGGGCTTGGCTCGGGCGAGCATGCGCACTAGATTCCCCAAGGCGAGCATGCGCACCAGATTCCCCAAGGCCCCTGAAGCCTAAACCCTAAGGCCTAAACCCTAAACCCTAAACATCCCCGCCAGGCCTACTGTGATACAGTTTCACGACAAGGTGATGCACTTCCTGCACGACAGGCGGGTCAGCTTCGGCTCAGATGTGACTAGACTTGGAGGTTCAGGGTACTTAGATCTCCAATTATAGGGTTTAGGGTTTAGGGTACCCTATAACCCCAAGTCTAACTGTACGTACAAGCCCCCTAAGTGCCCTAAGTCCTCTAAGTAGGTTATAGGTAGACTGAAAATTGGGGTTAGAAGTACCCATGAAACCCAAGTACACACCCCGGGATCGTAGACATTTAAGCCGTAACATCCCATACTTGGTGGTTTCCAAACCGTTGGGGTTTAGGGTTAAGGATTTAGGGTTGGAGGTTCATGCATACTTGTAAGTAGGGTTCATTATGGTTCTCACCGTAGTTAGGGGTACTGAAAACCCTGCTTCTAAGTACCCATGAACCTCCAAGTAACCATCATGTTCGAAGAAAATAAGGACCCTACCATTGTCACAGAATCGTCGTAGGCTCCGTGATTTTGCCTTGAAGCCGAGCAATACGGGAAGCCCTTAAAGGGGTCGTAGAATGGGTGCATGAGACGCTGAACCCTAAACGCTTAGCCCTAAACCCCAAACCCTACGTCTTCATCACGATAGAAGGGAGGATATGCAGACAAACTCGGACTGCTTCCTGGATCGACGATCAGTGAGAACGTCTTCCATTTTGACGGCGTTCAAGCGCCAAACTCACCATCCCACAGAAGCAGCAAAATGCTACACAGGACCAAGAATAGGCCCTTAATCCCCCTTCTTTGGGGTTTAAGTTCTCTTCTAAGCCCCTGTAAAATAAGAAAAGTGTACCCTGTGTTTTTTAAGGCCTCTCCTGGGTCAAGTATTGTAGCTTAGACTGAGCCTTCAGGAGCCCAAATCGATGTTTTCGTAAGTCATGGTAATAAACCCTTTCAGTTATTCAAGGCAGTCTGCGACAAAGGGCTCTAAAGCAACCCCCGGGGCCCAAGGACTCTGCGGTTTCAGTTGCCTGTTGCGGAGGAATCAGCATCTCACCTACGTCGTGAGAGATGCCGCGGCAATGGCGTCCGCAACTGAGAGACTCTAGAGCGAGAGACCTTATAAACATATAGAGAGACCCTAAACCCTAAACCCTAAACCCCAATTCAATAGCGAAAGCCTGGAGGTCTCGGAAAGTCGGGGTACCCTGTTGGGGCCTCCATAAACACAGTCCTATACCCCTCGAAAAACGAGTCCGCTAAATCCTAGACCCTGGAGAACTCTGAACCCCAGGCCCTTAACCCTGAACCCTAAACCCCAAACCCTAGGCCCTAGGCCCTTAACCCTGAACCCTAAACCCTTCGCCGAGCCCCGGTACTCAGTGAACTCAGGATGGACTCAGAAGCCCTCATCCACAACGAGACGCTCTACAACGAGGACTGGCTTCTTCCTTTCTGATTGTTGGGGCCTGCTAGGGGTTTAGGGTTTAGGGTTCTGATTGTTAGGGTTATGGGGGGTTTAGGAATTTTGTTGGATTTAGAGTTTCAGGGTTTTAGGGTTTTAGGGCTTGGGGCCGGGGCTGCAGGTTTTGGGGTTCTCAGGGTTTTCGGGTTTGGGGGTTTAGGCTTTAAGGGCTTTCAGGTTCTCGGGCTTTTGGGCTTAGGGCGCTACACTGTAGGGTTGTAGGGTCTCGGGGTTTAGGCTTCTAGGGCCCTAACGGCATCTTGGCTGCCCTATTCTGCTTGTACTTCTTTGTAGCCCAGAGGTGCCATTGTGTATCTGTTGGGTTCTGGGTCGGGATGTTCGCCCTTATACTAGCAGTCCTTAATGGGGATTGTAGGACCCCCCCCCCCCCCATTGCAATCCCTACTAAGGACTGTTAGTATAAGGGGATGAGGGTTTAGGGTTTAACCCATGATTATGGGATGGTTGCTACGATGAGTACTTCTGATGTTTGTGATTGTTGTCGTTATTTCCAGTTGTAGTCTTACTTGTGGTTGTTGTTATGATTGCTGTTGCTACTACTCGCGTTGATACCTACTTATTGCTGCTTTTTCACTGCGTGCGATATTCCTCATGTTTGTTTTTTTGCTGCTGCGGTGTGGTCATGGCTATGGTATTGCGCATATTTTGTTTTCACTTCGTTTAGTGATATCCATACCCACTTATCATTGTTGCTAGTGTGATGTTTTGATTGGTATCTTGCTCTGGTCTTCTGTTGACAGCTGACACCCTAAGATTGACATGCAAAGTTTGGGGTTTTGGGGTTTTGAGATAGGTATGGGCATGATCGAAGTGTCCCCACACCATCTATTTCGAAAAAGCAGGAAAGGATGTAAATTCAGGACCCTGTGCGCAATCAACTTGAGCTAATTCCGATATCTACCACCTGGTATTACTGTCCTTTGCAGTGTTTGAATCCTCGCAGTTGGTGACTCAAGGCACTTCGAAGACTCCGCAAGCCACAGCCGTAGCTGCGTCGTTTGGACGCCGCTATTTCTAGCATGTGTTCGCTGAGAAGTGCAGGTTGAGCTTCGACATCATGAAAGCTGCTTGAAGCCGCCACCCTAAACCCCTAAACCCCCAAACCCCTAAACCCTAAACCCGAAACCTTCAAGCAGCGACCATCCCAAACCCTGTAAGGAAGCAAAGCAAGGTGTAGAAGCGGTTGAAAGTGCTTGTAGTAAGGAACCTATCACATTTGGGGGTTCTAGTAATCCTCAAAGATTTGGGGCACCCTTTTGGGTCTGAAGGGTTAAGGGGCAGCTTGTAAGGTTGAAATGTACAGTGCGGGGGGAGGGGGGAGAAGGTCCTCTCAAGCGCTGAAACCTCCTTGCGAGGGGAACCTGCCAGCACCTCATGGTCCTTTTGGGGACAGGTCCTTTGAAAAACTGACCCTAGGCCCTAAACCCTAAACCCTAAACCCTAAAACCATACAGGGCTGCAGGCTCACTGAGTCTCTTGATGAGCCTCTTAATCCTTAGACCAAGATGTCCCGGGGCTACAGGAATGGAGGCCCACAAACACGCGGCGAACGAATACGAAGAGAAAAGGAGGTGGGTCGGGGAGCAAAACCCTAAACCCTTAACCCTAAACCCTAAACCCTAAAACTTGGGGAAATTCGGGATTCGATCCTTTGAGTTTCAAGGCCTGCGTCTCCGAGAGTTTGGGGTTTTACTTCTTCATGCCTGAGCCCCCCTAAGCTGGGTTTTGGGTTTGGGGTTTGGGGTTTAGGGTTTAGGGTTTTGGTTTAGGGTTTAGGGACTAGGGACTAGGGTTTTTGGGGGGGTCACGTAAAAGCAAAGCCTCACTCCTGCCGGTTTGTTGGGCCCTGAGACCGCAAAATATCCGATATGCTGTGCCCTAAATCCTAAACCCTAAAACCCTAAAACCTAAAACCCTAAAACCCTAAAACCCTCAACCCTAAACCCTAAACCCTAAACCCTAAAACCTAAAACCCTAAACCCTAAAACCCAAACCCAGTGGAGAAAAGTGCAGATTCGGGCTCGGGCTTGGACAGGTGTATTTGTTGTTGGGGCTTCGGGTTCAGGGTTCGGGGTTTAGGGTTTCGGGTTTTACGGGTTTAGGGGTTTCTGGGTTTAGGGGTTTCGGGGTTTCGGGGTTTAGGACTTTAGGGTTTTAGGGGTTTAGGGGTTTAGGGGTTTAGGGGTTTAGGGGTTTAGGGGTTTAGGGGTTTAGGGGTTTGGGACCCCTTCAAATGGACCCCAATGAGTCATCCTGCCCGCATGTCTCTGCCGATGGGTCGGTAGCTGTGTAACCCGAAGCCTCAACCCCAAGACCTGACAGTCACCTCATACATACCCTAAACCCTAAACCCCTAAACCCTAAACAATATATTTACAAGACCTAGAGGCTTCAAGCCCCAAAGCCCTAAACCTCAAGCCTTCAAGCCCCCAAACCCCAAGCTCTCAAACCCTACAGCAAAAACCCCAAATACCCCAGAGCCCTGGTTTAGGGTTTAGGGTCCTAAACCCTAAACCTCTAAACTTTGTCGTCGTCTCGTGGGGTCAGGGTCTATGAAGCCAGTGTTTCGAAACCCTTGAGAAGGCTCTCCCTCAAGCTCCTAAGACCCCGCAGACCCAAAACCTAAAGGCCCGAACGCCCCAAATCACAGCCCCGAAGCCAATGCACCCCAAAGCCCTGTCAGCCCTAAACCCTAAACCCTTAACCTAGGATGCCCAGTAGTACCCTTATTCCCCTTTTGGGGGGGTTTAGGTTCCCTTATGAACCCCTTTAAGCAAGAAAGGGCACCCTCTTTAAGCCTTGGTTACTGGGCAGCCTAGTAACCCTTTGAACCCTTTGAAACCCTAGACCGCAAGGCTTCTACCAGTCGAAGGCGAACCAGTCCTTCTCCAGCCTCACAGGCCAGAATCGCTTCTTAACCGGGTTCTGGTTTGGGGTTTAGCGGTTAGGGGTTAGGGCTTTGGGGGGGTTTGGGTTCAGGGCTAAGGGTTGCACTAATCTGAGGTCCTTAAGCCCTGTACAACTTAAGCTCGTGTTTTTCGAGTTTGGTTTTGGCTTGGGGTTGTTCTGAACACTACAGGATGTTGATCACACAGGGCCTTGTTTATCTGAGTCGGGGCCGGGGGGCAGGGGGCGGAGGGCTGCTTTGAAACGGGACTCCGCTATTCCCAAGCAACAGCTTCTTGTTCTTCTTCTTCTTCTTCTTAGTTGGGGGTGTTACCCCCCGAGGGGGTTCTATCACACTGAAAGGGATACGACGTACAAGAATAAACGTTACGTGGATGCAGATTTAGGTCCTATCATTCCTAAAATCATAAATCCCAACCCTTCAGGGTTTACGGCATGGGGGGCGCAGAGACAGGCCCCAAAGCCTTCAACTCCAAAAGCACGTTAAGGCGTGTAGCCTTCGAACACCGAACTCCTGCGAGAATTTCGAAGTCAACCTCATTTCCTTGACTGCCCTCGGGTTTAGGGTTTAGGGCAACCCTGATCCCTAGATACGTTATGTTCAACCCGACTAACGAATTGTCTCACTGGCCAACTCCAGTTCTGAGCATCCTTAAAGCAGAAAGCTGCCCATGTACCACCTTAACGTAGCTTGCTTAGGGTCTAGGCCGGTTTAGGGTTAGGGTTTAGGGGTTTGTTGGGTGCCGCTCGTCATGTTGTTCTTGGTGCCCCCTATAGGCCCTCAAGCCCAAAGGCCCCCACCCGTCAGACTCCCTCCGTGAACGGCCAGGCATTCCTTCGCCCAGCATGAGCATGCGCAACGTCAACTCGATCGTCACCGTCACCTCGGCCGCGAGCTTGGAGAGCGAAGCCTACCACGAAGGTGTGCTTGCACCTTACTAAGACTTGGTCATGGATGTAGTTGTGAGGGTTTAGAGGTCTAACGGATAATATGCGGTATATTCTAACATCAGTTGCCATAGCCAAGAAAGTTCTCTGAGGGTCCATGTACTTATGTAGTATGTACTTGGGCCCTAAAGCTACTACATGGGAACGCCCTTTGAGGTCCAAGTATCTACTATCTATGCACATGGATCCCTAAACCCTAAATCTAAACCCCTAAACCATACACCCCTATATGAGTGGCTGTCAAAATTATAATCCCTTTTGGGGTACCCTAAATATTAGGTGCCGTATTATCATAAGGACCCCAAAAGGGACCGTAAGTTTGACAACCAAAGCCTATGTAGGTACATGGACCCCTCGGGGTTATCCTACTTACAACCCTACTGTTTCCAACTGCCTCCCGAGTCTCCAAGTAGGATTCCAGTCCAATGAAGGAAGCTTACGGACTTCACACCTCGACCCTATACCACGAGCCCAAACCCCAAACCCCTGACCCCTAACCCCTAACCCCTAAACCCTAACCCGTAACCCCTAACCGCTAACCCCTAAACCCCTAACCCCTAACCCCTAACCCCGAACCCCGAACCCCGAAACCCTAACCCCTAACCCCTAACCCCTAACCCCAACCCCAAACCCTAAACCCCAAACCCTAAACCACAAACCCCAAACCCTAAACCCCAAACTCTAAACCCCAAACTCTAAACCCCAAACTCTAAACCCCAAACCACAAGCCCCAAACTCTAAACCCCAAACTCTAAACCCCAAACTCTAAACCCCAAACCACAAACCCCAAACCCTAAACCCCAAACTCTAAACCCCAAACTCTAAACCCCAAACCACAAACCCCAAACCCTAAACCCCAAACTCTAAACCCTAACCCTAAACTGCGAGGCCCTGGACGAGGCCCGGGATTCCTGGTGTGTTTTTGCGATCACGGCCCTCAGCCCAGGGTTTAGGGTTTAGGGTTAAGGATATCCGAGAAGTTCGGGCGCGTCGGGTTTCTGGTTTCGGGTCTGTAGCACGTCTAGGGTTCAGGGTTTTGGATGTAGGGTTTAGGGTTTAGGGGCTACGTTTAGGGCTTCGGGCTCCGGGCACGAACCCTTCAAAACCCAGCAACCTTCAGAACCAGCTACCCACTGGTTGTTTGTGAACTGGGGCCAAGATGGAAGCTCGAAATGAAAAAGACTCATCGAAGAATGATGCCGATGGAATACTGTGGTTGGGGTGTAGGGTTTAGGGTTTAGGGTTTAGGGTTTCGGGTTGAGGGTGTAGGCACTGCACCATTTGGGAGTTGGATCTAGATGATTTGCCCGTTCTGTGTCATCGCATTCCTTCGGCTTGATCAAAATCATGGGCCCTTGTTGGAAATCCCCTACATCCTATGCCTATACCCTATGAGGAGTGCATTCACGATTCGACCAGCAAAGCGGCGCTAGTTTTCTAGCAGCCCTTGCAGCTAGACGTCTGAGTCACACATGCACCTTGTGCCCATACGAAGGCACTTCATATGTTCTGAAACTATTATCGGGTTGGATTGAGGATGTACATGAGGTTGGGGGGGTTAATATGTCTGTATAGGTTGGCTGGTTGAGATCTTGTGTTGGAGATGGTATTTTGACGAGCTCGGGCGGTGTCGCCCTAAACCCTACACACTAAAACCCTAAACCTTAATCGCTTCCCCCTTTTAGTAAATGCTCCCCCTAATGATAAAGCCACTTTCCGGAAAATCCTGCCGAAACCGACCCCGTTTTTTTAACCCTATTCCGAATTAGGGGGGTGGTTCAGGCCTCCAATAAACCCCTCAACGCCAAACAACCCTCAGAGGGTTTAGGGTTGGGGGTCTAGGTTAAGGGTTTAGGGTTTAGAGTCCTTATGACATTTCGATAAGAATACTCCCTAATAATAAAAAACACATTTCGAATTTTTATTGCGCCGGGGGGGGGGGTTAATATTAGGGGGATGGGATTAATAGGTAACCGTCAGTGCCCTTAATAGAGAACTCTTGGTCCCCCAAACCCAAACTTGAAGTCGTTGACCTTCGAGGACGACTGCGATGCGAGATCTCCCCGGCCGCAGACACCGATGCTGAAACGCCTGGCGAAGGCATCCTCCGACTGCTTAGAACTTTTGGGTTTAGGGTTCAGGGTTTAGGGGTTCAGGGTTCAGGGTTCAGGGTGCAGGGTTCAGAGCGCAGGTTCAGGGTGTAGGGTGTGGTTCAGGGTTTAGGTTCAGGGTGTATGGTGCAGGGCTTCTGCCCCTATACCTTCCGAACCTCGGGTTTCGGGTAGTGAAGCATGTGGTCCTCAAATTGCATGCGATCACGGTTCAGGACCTTGAGGTGTGAGGAGGCTTGGGGGGATGGGTTCAGGGTTTAGGGTTGGGGGCGGGGCCCTCTCCGTTGGCAGTCCATGCTGCTTCGGGAAAGATTTGAGCCATGCGGCTGCCGAGGATAACTTTGAGTACTGTATCCCACCCCCGCCGCTCTTCTGAGCCGTGTTCCAAAAACCAGCCAAGATTGAACTCAGAATTCTTTATGTTTCTCGCGCAACGATCAGGCAGCCTTGCAAGGGCTTGGCTCCTTCAACTGAAAATGCTACAGTCAGTTGGGGAAAGGGCCGAACACGTTGCCCCCCCCCCTCGGTCGGCCTGGTCAGAGCTGCGAGGCCCCCCCCCCCCCACCCTTCCATTCTTCCCTAATCCCTAAACCCTAAACTCCTAAACCCTAAACCCTAAACCCCAAACCCAAAACCCTAAGCGCATGTTGGCATGGGGCGACATGCTCGGCCGCTGCCAGGCCCTTTCGAAGGCGTATGTCAGGTCATGACTGATAGAAATGCATACATATATATATATATATAGACATACATACATACATACATATATATATATATATATGTATGTATTAAATATACATGGCAAGCTTAGGATGAGGCTAGTCTAAGAGCTCAGTTTCCACGTCCCACAGGTAGCATGCTGACATGTTTTTTCAGCGGTAACAAGGATGGCCCTCATAGAGCCCTTTGAACACTCTTCCAAAACATGATCCTCTTAAACCCAATAAGGGAAAATATATCCCAAGGCTCTACCTAGGTAGGATCCCAGCTCGGGCCTCGTTCTGCCCCCACTTCTTGCGGGCCTTGGTGTGTTTTTTTCGATGCAATGGCCTCCTGGGGTGAGATGTTCGAGGCAGCAGCAGCATCTGCAGAAGACATAGAGGACTTCGACGCGCAATATGGGTCTGCTCCACTTCCGGTACAAGTGGACGGGGGGTACCCTGACAGAAGCAGCCGTGGGAAGGGGCGGGGGCGGAAAGGTACCGGAAAGGCTGGGAAGGCGACTTGGCAAGGAAGAGGCGTCCAGAAAGAGCTGGGCCTAGGTGGCCAAGGAGAGGCGGACTTGGTGGCGGCAGTTGCACTCCTGCAGAAGCGTGTCGCGCGCATGGAAGCTGCCCTCGAAGCCGCTGGAATTGACATTCCAGGCGACGAGGGCTCATCCGAGGAGTCTGAAGAGGAGGGCTTATCCCAGGAGTCTGAAGAGGAGGCCTCACCGGATGACGACTCAGACGACATTGATCACACAGCTGTGCCGTTCGGCGCATCCGAGGTCGAACCCCCGCTTCAAAGCGGTGACTCATTTGCCGATGCTTGTTTCCAAGCTGCCCTGGAGCAGGATCTGCATTCGCGTCAACAGACTGCCCACAGGAAACGACGAGGCTGAGACGTTGTTGGCTGGTTCTCTAACGAGAGTCTCTTTTGGGTCCATCATAGAACGCAGCACCCTTGTACTAACTACCCCCAACAGGACCCAACATTTGGAGAACTACCCACATGGTCGCAGCGCTGTAAAAAGAAGTAGTGCGGCAGCCCAGATCGAAAATCCGCGTTCTTTTGGCAAGTTGTCTTCTAAGAAGCTCTTTAGACTTTAGACCTTAAACACCTCGACCCAGCCTGCAATATGGGGGGTCGGAAGAACTACTAAGAAATCTTCCCTTGGGGTCCCTATATACATGCAGTATAGCGACCCCCCCCCCCCCCCCCCCCCCAAAAGCCCTATTCCAACTATTATAAGGCCCCTGTGTTACTTGGCTTTGGGCGCTGCACCGAAGGCGCAGTCTGCTCCGTCTGACATGGTCAGCTTCATGCTCAACGCAGCAGCCAGAGAGAAGGAGCCTCTTAGCTTGTAGTACCGGACGGAAACAGTTGCAAATAGCATCCCCTTACAATCCCTGTACTAACCCTAAACCCGAAACCCTAAACCCAAATGCCACGTAAATGCTACACCCAAAGTGCCCAGTCGAGTCTCACAATTCGGCCCCTGAGGGGTGGTTTTAGCGGTTTGAGGTGGATTTGTGTGATGTGCGGTGCTGCTTCGGCTTTTGCTTGGCAGGTCATCATGCATACCTTATGCCCTATAACCCTAAACCCTAAGCTGTCGAATGTTCCCGTCTTGGTGTAGTTGATTGGCGCACCCCAAAGCCTACAATCCCGAAATCATAAACGGGTTTCCGACATGGGGCTCACTTGAAGGGGATTCTATTCCATTTTGTGCATCGAAGGGGTGCCCCTGTTTTGGGATATACATAAATAAGTAACTAAAGATATACAAATATACGTATAAGGTTCGTATTTCTAAACTCAAGCTTCATGCCCTACATCCTATAAGGCCTATGAAGCGACTTCCCTAGCCCT